ATAAGTGAAATTAGCAAAGAGCCGAAAACGAAATGCTGTTGGACACAAAGGATCTCTGCGAGGTCTTGTCTGCAATTAAAATAACACTTATAGAGATACACTGAGATGAAGAAAATACCATAATGCATGAGCAGAGAAGCCAAATAATTATACAGCGTAGCATTTGCATTATTTCTATTGAATGACGTGAGATTGATGTGAAGAATTATGCACGTTGATAAGAATGAGAATGCTATCTTGTTGTTTACTTCCTCGTTTCCCGCGCCTGAAACAGGGTTGTTGGATGCCATATCTGCCCGGAAACGAGGCTGCGATGGCCGGAAAGTACCATGGTGGAATCCATGGTACATTAATTGCCCGTAATTTCCAAATATGGTAAGCGCAGGGTAGTTTTGAAAACTTAGCGGGGTGATTGGAGCCAGTCAAAGGGTGAAATATTTTAAATGGATAATAATATGTCATATTAACCTTTCTAGCACGTTGATGTTAATGTTTATATTTTGATCTCGTTGATAATCTGGCTTGTCTGGTTGCCCTAGCAAAAGCTAAGAGAATGTCGTCTTATCTTTGTGAATCAACTTCATATAGGTCCTTCGGACTCGCCATTAAATTTGCTTACGTCAAAGTGGACAGGAAAAACAGATATATTTTTAACCCACAGTAAACAACTCCACCTATGATTTGGGGATTAATTTAGGCTGATCAAGTTTTTATTTACCAGGAGATGAATCGGCCTGAAAATGTTTTTTGATGTGTTCTTAAAATTTGTTTATTAACAGAGGTTAAATTAACGAACAATGTTTTATTACCTACACTAAAAAATAGGTTTCAAAAATAAATACATACTACTACTAATATAAGTAAACTTTGACAGTTAAAAGCTCGACATCAAATTGCTGTTAATCAGCAGTTTTAATGTTTTCATTTCTTAATTCACAAGACCAGCAGCCCCTGATCGGAGTTTGTAGGGTCCAGCACACCTATGGACACCAAAGGACACACCAAAGTACTTTAATATGAGCACGTTACCGTTTTGGTTTCTTATTCTAGCATCCTTTTTCTTTTTATATAAGAACATGTCGTATTTATTAGGCTGAATTGTTTCTTATACATCTTGTGCTTTATTGTCCAACTTTAAGCCTGATGTCCTTAATCCACTTGTTCTTATATGCGGGTGTTTACTGTATTACAAACTTGGAGTTATTTTTATTGACATAAAATATAACACTGCCAAAAGTAGACGAGAAAAAGGAACAATACCGAATTACAGTGCCAATATTTAGAACGACAAAAAGCCTTTACCATAGCTTATTTGACTACCACAGTAGTAGTCTATCGTCTATAAGTGAAGACTAGATGCATGTAACTGAGGAAGAATCATGAAAGGCAGTCTACAATGGTCAATCCATTTTTGTTTTATTCATGTGCTCACGGAAGTTTCGCCCTAGTCTACTTAACTAAACGTAACTATATTCTTTATATTAAAACAGCTATGCATTTCTAATGGTAAACAACCAGAATGATAAACGCCTTTTTTTCTGGTAGAGGCCGGCCAGGTCACGCTCGCATTCATGGTCTGCTCGGCGGGGCAACGCCCCGTCCATACGTATCCGGATATTTTTGAATCTGCTATGTATCCGAAGAGACAAGGCGACAACTACAAAAGTAAATTTGTCAAGCAGGATTTACAAAGAAAGAAAAGCGGAGCTGCTTGACGGTAAGTGCAAATTTTGTATGGTCGGAGAGAGAAAGAAAATTTTCAAGCTATCGAAGAAGACGTCAACATACCACTCTTTGGAAGACGAAAGAGCGATTTTCTTACAACTATATGAGGCTGAGAGAGAGATATGAAACTTCCAACTGACCGGAGAGAAATACTTAATAGAATGCACAACTAGCGCACAAAAAATAAAAACACCAGAAAGTATCCCAGGACATGTGTGAAAGTGTACATACGCAAAACATGAGTTGGAAACTTGTAAAGTAAGTAGCAGAGCGAACTAAACAAGACTTTAACAAAGAGATAATTCTTGGCTGATTTTGTGATTATCTAAGTGCTGACCAAAAGCTGCACAGAATTAGTTTCGACCCAGCATTGAGTGCCCATATCAGTTCTGCGGTTTTGCACAAGATGGAGGGTTGTCCAATACTCACAAATAGACTCCATTGGTGTTAGTGGTGATGAGAAGGGTCTCTATTGGTACCAATGGTACGATTGGTACCAATGGAAAAGCACCATTGTCCAATGGTTCTATTGGTGACTATGCATCTCATTAAGGGGACTTAGATTATTTTCTCATGTGGTGTGGCTGGGTACAGGGCAATTCCGATGGTCCATTGGTGCCAATGGTACGATTGGTACCAATGGAAAAGCACCCTTGGCCAATGGTTCTATTGGTGACTATGCATCTCATTAAGGGGACTTAGATTATTTTCTCATGTGGTGTGGCTGGGTACAGGGCAATTCCGATGGTCCATTGGTGCCAATGGTACGATTGGTACCAATGGAAAAGCACCATTGTCCAATGGTTCTATTGGTGACTATGCATCTCATTAAGGGGACTTAGATTATTTTCTCATGTCGTGTGGCTGGGCACAGGGCAATTCCGATGGTCCATTGGTACCAATGGTACGATTGGTACCAATGGAAAAGCACCAATGTCCAATGGTTCTATTGGTGACTATGCATCTCATTAAGGGGACTTAGATTATTTTCTCATGTCGTGTGGCTGGGCACAGGGCAATTCCGATGGTCCATTGGTGCCAATGGTACGATTGGTACCAATGGAAAAGCACCATTGTCTAATGGTTCTATTGGTGACTATGCATCTCATTAAGGGGACTTAGATTATTTTCTCATGTGGTGTGGCTGGGTGACTATGCACAGGGCAATTCCGATGGTCCATTGGTGGTACAATGGTACGATTGGTACCAATGGAAAAGCACCATTGTCCAATGGTTCTATTGGTGACTATGCATCTCATTAAGGGGACTTAGATTATTTTCTCATGTGGTGTGGCTGGGTACAGGGCAATTCCGATGGTCCATTGGTACCAATGGTACGATTGGTACCAATGGAAAAGCACCATTGTCCAATGGTTCTATTGGTGACTATGCATCTCATTAAGGGGACTTAGATTATTTTCTCATGTCGTGTGGCTGGGTACAGGGCAATTCCGATGGTCCATTGGTGCCAATGGTACGATTGGTACCAATGGAAAAGCACCCTTGTCCAATGGTTCTATTGGTGACTATGCATCTCATTAAGGGGACTTAGATTATTTTCTCATGTGGTGTGGCTGGGTACAGGGCAATTCCGATGGTCCATTGGTGCCAATGGTACGATTGGTACCAATAGAAAGGCACCATTGTCCAATGGTTCTATTGGTGACTATGCATCTCATTAAGGGGACTTAGATTATTTTCTCATGTTGGTGTGGCTGGGTCCATTGGTGCCAATGGTACAGGGGTACCAATTCCGATGGTCCATTGGTGACCAATGGTACGATTGGTACCAATGGAAAATGGTACCATTGTCCAATGGTTCTATTGGTGACTATGCATCTCATTAAGGGGACTTAGATTATTTTCTCATGTCGTGTGGCTGGGTACAGGGCAATTCCGATGGTCCATTGGTGCCAATGGTATGATTGGTACCAATGGAAAAGCACCCTTGTCCAATGGTTCTATTGGTGACTATGCATCTCATTAAGGGGACTTAGATTATTTTCTCATGTGGTGTGGCTGGGTACAGGGCAATTCCGATGGTCCATTGGTGCCAATGGTACGATTGGTACCAATAGAAAGGCACCATTGTCCAATGGTTCTATTGGTGACTATGCATCTCATTAAGGGGACTTAGATTATTTTCTCATGTGGTGTTGCTGGGTACAGGGCAATTCCGATGGTCCATTGGTGCCAATGGTACGATTGGTACCAATGGAAAAGCACCATTGTCCAATGGTTCTATTGGTGACTATGCATCTCATTAAGGGGACTTAGATTATTTTCTCATGTGGTGTGGCTGGGTACAGGGCAATTCCGATGGTCCATTGGTGCCAATGGTACGATTGGTACCAATGGAAAAGCACCATTGTCCAATGGTTCTATTGGTGACTATGCATCTCATTAAGGGGACTTAGATTATTTTCTCATGTGGTGTGGCTGGGTACAGGGCAATTCCGATGGTCCATTGGTGCCAATGGTACGATTGGTACCAATGGAAAATCATCCTATTCCAATGTTTCTATTGGTGACTATGCATCTCATTAAGGGGACTTAGATTATTTTCTCATGTGGTGTGGCTGGGTACAGGGCAATTCCGATGGTCCATTGGTGCCAATGGTACGATTGGTACCAATGGAAAAGCATCCTATTCCAATGGTTCTATTGGTGACTATGCATTTCATTAAGGGGACTTAGATTATTTTCTCAGTTGGTGTGGCTGGGTACAGGGCAATTCCGATTGGTACCAATGGAAAAGCACCCTATTCCAATGGTGCTATTGGTGACTATGCATCTCATTAAGGGGACTTAGATTATTTTCTCATGTGGTGTGGCTGGGTACAGGGCAATTCCAATGGTCCATTGGTACCAATGGTACGATTGGTACCAATGGAAAAGCACCCTTTTCCAATGGTTCTATTGGTGACTATGCATCTCATTAGGGAGACTTAGATTATTTTGTCATGGGTCTGGCTGGGTACAGGGCGATTCCAATGGTCCATTGGTACCAATGGTACGATTGGTACCACTGGAAAAGCACCCTATTCCAATGGTTCTATTGGTGACTATGCATTTCAGTAAGGAGACTTGGATGATTTTCTCATGTGGTGTGGCTTGGTACAGGGCAATTCCGATTGGTACCAATGGAAAAGCACCCTATTCCAATGGTGCTATTGGTGACTATGCATCTCATTAAGGGGACTTAGATTATTTTCTCATGTGGACTAGCATCCAAAGTCTACTGAAGGCGAAGTTATCGACCCTAACCCTAACCCTAACCCTAATTTGCTCTGAAAGTCTTTCACTTCTGCACTTTCCTCTGGTGTTAAATTAGTCTCTTTCAATGAGCAAAACACTGGTCTTGGGAAAAACCAAAGCAGTCTTGACGTAAACCCCTTGGCGTTGTTCTGTGCATCTTCCATGATAGGAAGGGCGGTCTGTGGCTGGGTAAACCCCATTAGTGTGAATGAGGTTTGGGTCATTCTGTAGTTGGCGTTTCCAGTAACTGAAGAAAAAGCAAAGTTTATTAAGAAGGTGGCTCAGTCAACACTTTTTTTAAAAAAGTGACTGGTACTAAAATTTAAAATGAATGTGTTTGAAGAGCTCGTTTTACAGGCCAATGCTTAAATATAATTCATTTAAAAAAAAAAAGAGCCATATAGGTATATATATCATTTGCCTCGATACATGTTGTTCTCCAGGGATGTAAATCATATTGATAAATAATTATTATAATCACAGGGATGTATGAACGTGTGTCTGAGAGCACTGTGGTCCTGTAATAACAGAACTTTTTTTTAAAGAAGGTGCATGCCTCTAAGGAATTCAAAAAATGGAAGGAATTGAGTTGAATTTGAGATAGACCCTAGAAAATAGTACGCAACTTACTGGTTTCCCTTGTCTTTGACTTGCCAGTGAATAACTGCAAGAAATCTTGATACTCCTTCGTGTCTGACAGCTGCATTTTAGAAGTTGAGTACATGTTCATAGTACTAAAAAACGACACAAGCTCGTCAAACAGTCCAAATGAACGGCCTCCAGCATTTGCTAAAATATCGCCAAATTTGTCCCATGTACAGTGAGGCATGAAGACAGATTTCACCGCATGGCCTTTGGCTAAAGCTTTAACCTGAACAGAATCCATCACGTCATTAAGAAATTGATGGAAAGTGCTTTTGCAGCGACCTGTAAGAGGGGAAAAAGTTTGTTTGTACCCATGATAAACCAACAAGAGAATTACTCAAGCAAAATGTGATGCAAAACTGGAATGGTTTGTAGGTTGTCTGCAGATTTCAAAACACTGATAGGAAAACGAATGTAAATATAGTTTTAATAAGAAACATTGTTTTGCACCATGAAAGAGTGGGTATGTTTTATTATGCATGTTACAATGTATAGCAGGACCAGAGGGTTTTTAATATTATAGTGTGTAGCAAGAAGGAAAGTATAAGTCTTAATATTATTGCTTGTGTGTTTGAACAGGTGAACTGTGTGTGCTAAGTTTAATAAAAGACAGTCTTAAAACTGGTTAAGCTGAATGCATATTGAAGTTTGATAAGTAACGACATTATGGACATTTATAAGAAAAGATCATCCATGGAATGGAAGGGTTCTTATCATGCCTTTGATGTGAACATCACAGTCCAAAGGTGAAAGTGTAAAAATGATATAGTGAAATCATCCAACATGTTGGTTGGTTGTTCCATGTATATTCCTATCTAATGTAAATTTATGATATGGCTGATGAGCCATAAAGGAAAGACCCGAGTTCTTACCTGTTGGCAGCACAATGGCAATCCACAAAATAATGGGTTCTGTCCAAAAGTCATTCACTGATGTCGAAGTATGACCCATACAAAAGCTAATCATTGTAAGAATCCCAAGAAGAACAGTGGTTTCTCGCTGCTTCATGCCTTTGCCAAATAACTGACAAATCTGTTAAACAAAACGGTGAACAGAAAGGTCTTTGCATCACATAGTACGAAGATGCGGTATCCTAAAAAATTCTGTAATTGCGAAATCCACTTGCATATGATGAACGTGTGAACTTTCGAAAGACATTTCATTCATTTCGTTTATTTCGCCCATCTTGAATTTGAGCCTTCGGGGTCAGCAGTCGCTCCTTATCCCACGAGAAAAAGAAAAATGGCGTCCTCTGTTTAAAAATTCAAGATTCGCATGGAATATTGGAGAAAAAAAGATTGGGAGCGTGTTTTCATGTACGAATAAGAATAGGGCATAATCTTCATCATTAGTTCGTGCTTTATTTTTGTTATTGTTAAAGTCCACACGACGTTTCACATAGACTTTTGTATGTACTAGCTGATAATTCCGTTTAAGGTAAGGCCAACGCACTGAACACCAGATGCTGTAAAAACCCTCCCTGTTTTGCGAGTGTGCTGGTGAAAAATCTTTAAAATGTTGCGTTTACAAAGAACGCTAATTTGAAAACGGGAAAAGATTGGGTCTATTATTCTTCCATAGAGATTTTTATTGTATACGAGAAGACATCAAATAGGGACTAAAAGGGTTGAGTGAAACGTCTGGTTCTTAAAAGGACATGCATAAAACTGTTGTACTTCTGGAACTACAGGCAAATTTTCAAAATCTATTCAACAAAACGGAAACTGAGCGCGACCTTCAAGTTCTTGAATGTTTCAAATGTTGAGTGATGTTGTGCTATGGCTAAACAAAAAAAAACCCGGCACTCAACGACGGTTTCCTCCAAAATCGTTGAAAATCCTTTTTACGCTATGCAGAGTACCTTTAGATTTCTCGACATGCACTCTAAGCGATGCTAACAAATTTTTATCTGTTCGGTCATCCTAGGGGAACTTATAAGTCTTTGCGAAATTACAACGGGTTCGTGGGTAAATAATGTCAAATGTCCAAAAAGAAGAGTACTTACTTTTCTTAGGTTCTCTGGCAACAATGTCCAATCCAGATCGTTCTCGTAACATTTTTCCAAATCGACGTCCAATCTTTGCATACGGGCAGCCATGACTTTGCGGAATTTTCGAAAATCACGCAGGTATGTAGACTGAAGCGACAACAAGCCAGCGAAATTACAACGTGCTCAGTTTATCCCTAATAGACGTGAACCCAAACACTCGAACTTCTAATGTCCCTAGAGTGCTATCACGCCTCATCCAATAAAAAGGTGAGATAACAGTTAGGTCGCTTCATTTTCAGAATAACAAAGAATACCGAAAAAGTGAGAAAATTGCATAACCCTTACAAACAGTAATAAAACAATAGGAACAATAAAAAATCTCAAAGTGATGTGAAATGTTGCTCACATAACGACGCGTGTTTATAAACCTACACTCATTATTGGCGTGGTCTCAGTTCACGGTTATACGATCAGTTGGAACATGGCTATGATATCTATGTACCGAGAAGAAATACGACTGCTATCTCGGCAAGAAGTCGTGGAAGAAAGGAAACAGCTATTCCGACTTCTCAACGGCGACGCCTTTTTTCCAGAGAAATCGTGGCCTAAGGATATTCGCCTCATATTCTAGAAGAAACCAATGGGTGATAAGGAAACATTCAAACTTCTGCTGTTTTTCCACGGCAACGGGTGCAATCCTGAGACGATCAGTAGATGGATTCTTCTAGCTCAGTCCTGGGCCTCATCGCAAGCTACAGCCGAGAAAAGAGCACGGCAAATACAATTTGTCAACGACAACGTTGACAGTAAAAGAAATCAATGGTTTTACTTCGACCTTGATTATAACAAACTGTTGTACCTCAATGGGTTACCACGACAAACCCCACGTCAACAGTGAAAAGTGACTTCAGTCACTTGAATATAAAACGGCTCTTTTAGGAGCCACCAAATACAGTACAAAGTCATAACCAACAGCATGATATAACCATCATTTCTCGTAAACTCTTCATTGAAAACTTGTTTTGGTTTAAACACTTCCATGTAGATAATGACATTGCGCTAGGTAATTTCAGAAGTTAATTTCACAGTGAATTGAGTACAGTTGTTAAAACCTGTTGCCTAAATACCACTTTGCTAGTTTCGCGCCTTTCCGCGTTGTTTCCGATTCTTTTAAACAAGTAAGAATTACCAAAAAAATAGTGCTTGTGTACCGGAAAGAAGACATTCATATGTCAGGTTGCTGTTTGCTCGTGAATCACATTAAACAGAACGAACACGAGAGTGAAACGTTACCTTTCAATTTTATAATGTTCATACGATGTTTGTTATACTCGCAGCGCCTTGACATATTATTAGCGCTAGATATATACGTCGCCCTCACTTTGTAACTATTAGCGCGTCTCTACTTTGTGTGAAAGCGAACTTCTTTTGCGTCGTTGGCCTATAGAACGAAGAATATTCATAATAATTATTAGCGCGTTTTTTCTTGGTGTAAAAGGCAACTTATTTTGCGTGGTTGGCTTATAGAACGAGGAAAATTCATAATTATTGTTAGCGCGTTCCTAATTGGTGTGAAAGCGAACTTGTTTTGCGTGGTTGGCTTATAGAACGAGGAATATTCATAATAATTATTAGCGCATTTCTACTTGGTGTAAAAGGCAACTTGTTTTGCGGGGTTGGTTTATAGAACGAGGAATATTCATAATAATTATTAGCGCGTTTCTACTTGGTGTAAAAGGCAACTTGTTTTGCGCGGTTGGCTTATAGAACGAGGAATATTCATAACAATTATTAGCGCGTTTCTACTTGGTGTGAAAGCGAACTTGTTTTGCGGGGTTGGCTTATAGAACGAGGAATATTCATAATAATTATTAGCGCGTTTCTACTTGGTGTAAAAGGCAACTAGTTTTGCGTGGTTGGCTTATAGAACGAGGAATATTCATAATAATTATTAGCGCATTTCTACTTGGTGTAAAAGGCAACTTGTTTTGCGGGGTTGGTTTATAGAACGAGGAATATTCATAATAATTATTAGCGCGTTTCTACTTGGTGTAAAAGGCAACTTGTTTTGCGGGGTTGGTTTATAGAACGAGGAATATTCATAATAATTATTAGCGCGTTTTCACTTGGTGTAAAAGCGAACTTGTTTTGTGTGGTTAGCGCGTTTCTACTTGGTGTAAAAGCGAACTTGTTTTGCACCAATAGAACCATTGGAATGACATCATTTTCCATTGGTACCAATCGTACCATTGGTACCAATGGACCATTGGAATTGCCCTGTACCCAGCCAGGTCACATGGGAAAATAATCAAAGTCCCCTTAATGAGATGCATATTCACCAACAGAACCACTGGAATGACACCATTTTCTATTGGTACCATTGGTACCAATGGACCATCAGTTTGACGAATCGTATCCGTTTGTTTATATTGGACATGTGTGACAAGATGAGCCTTTTTCCAGATACTGAATAAGAGCGTCGATGTATTAGTTTGTCTGGGATCGCCATACATGCTGTTTGCCATTTATATTTTCAGACTAAGACATCGGCTTTGATAAATCATTCATTTGAGTCCCTTTCGCACTCCAACGGGCTGAATGTCTAATTGCACCTGGTCCAGTTTTTAAATCGAAATCAGCAGCAAAAGACGAAACTAAAACTGACTTTCACTTAGGGTTCAAGTAAGCTTTGACGAAATAACTGACAACAGCCAACTTTTATTACTTAGAAAATGAGTGTTTAGTTAAATGATCGAATGTCCCAAACGTGTCAATGGCAAATGAAAGGTGTATTGCTATTTCCTCTAGAGAAACTTCGCTGCTAAATTAAAAGGATCTTGAAACAGCTTGGGGTGTGTTTTCTTTGCTTAAGTGCACAACGTCACCTATTAGACGACTATATTGCTGCCTTACTTAGTAATGAGCTGTTGGTAGTTTCAGGACTTTAACAATTAGGGACTTTATTTCTAAAGCTAGATTTTCAGAATTTCATATGGAAGCAAACCTCAAATGCAAAAGAATATATACTTTTTAATTCGAAATGCAGTTAAAGCAGTAAAACATAAGTTAAGATGATTGTTCGTAGAATATTTTTTTTTAGCTTAAAGTATACATATTAAAAGCATTAAACCAACTGCTGACTTCAGTGCCATAAAAAGATCATTTAAAAGACTTACGAGTGTGGTTAAGGGAAGGTGGAATCAGTAGTTGAAGGCGATTAACGTTGACTCTCTGGGAATCAAGTGATACTCACAAAGAGGGTGACACGCTTAACGGAAGTTTTACGCCTAATTTTCACTACTGAGCTACGCAAACACAAGGCCAGACACAAGTCATCATTTAACCCGGAAAACCGCGGCCTAGACGCGCGAGCAAGGATGTGCAAAAGCGCATTAGAGGATATATATTTCAGTTTATTTTCTTTTTCGTGTGAAATGACAAAATTCTCTCTCCCGTAAAGGTGTTATCTGACGAAAGCAAACCACCATGAGGATGACATTAATTTAGCTCATTTATGTATCGGGCCGGAAAGTATACAAAGAATTAATACATGATGATAACAAAGTCCACCCGCTGATATTACTGTGCTTCGGATAGGTCATTTTTGAGTACACTCTACGTTAAGCTCTTGCTTTCCTCACAGAAAATGTCTCAGTTGCAAGGATTAAAAGTTCCCGATTTTGAGCAACAAAAAAAAAGCAAGAATTGGAGAAATCAGTAAAGAACCAAGAATGGAAATGTTGTTGGCATCAGAAGATCTCTACGAGATCTTGTCAGCAAAAATAACAAATGTAGGGGTACACCAAATCTAAATAACAATAATAATGTATCGATGATTATACAGAATAACACGTAATATTAGCCTTTTTAGCACGTTATAATTTTGATGTAGTATTGATATTCTGTTCTTGTTGATAATTTGGCTTGTCTGGTTGCCTTAGCAAAAGGTTATAGAACGTCTTTTTCTCTGTCCCAATGGACTTCATATAGGTCCTTCGAGCTTATCATAATAAATTCCTTGTGTCACAGAGGGCGGGAAAAACAGGTATATTTTTAACCTACTTCAAACTTAGAGTTATTTTTATTCATAACACTGCCAAAAGTGGTAGACGAATAAGGAACAATACCAGATTACAGTGTCCATATATTGTTAAAATGACAGGAAGCCTTTACTATAGCTTCACTGACTACCACAGTAGTAGTCTATTCGCAATAAATGTATCTTCCTGTACATAAACAAATGAGGAAGAGACATGAAAAGCCTTTTTTTATTCCTTAAAAAAAAAGCCCCGAAGTCAAGGGTGAATTTTAACATATATCGAAATTGGTCTATTGTTACTAACGCAACGAGATACCATTATAATGATAATGAAGGGAATATTAATCGAAAAACGACAATCATGATAATAACAAATTAATACATAATCCATCCCAGTTAAAGTTAAGAACTCAGCAACAGCATTGCATGGTCTGCTCGGCAAGGTAAATTAACGACTTGCAGTTATGGGCTATCATTTAATATTACAGGAAATATTGTTAACATACTAATATCAATATTTTCCTCTTTAATGGTTATCAATCTGGCTGATCTTGTTGTTATCTTTCGGTAGTTTGAGAGCTCTAGGTGCTTTTTGTTACTTACGTCGAAACACTGTATATAGGTCTTTCGGGATGCTTAATAATAACTTACTCGGCCCTTTGTCTCTCATTCCTGCTAATAATAATCCAGGCAAAGAACTAATGCTACATTTGGGACGTCCATAGCACCAACAAACTATACAGACAACATGAACGTTTCATCAGCAAACACAAACAGTTGTTCTCTTCCAATGGCTCATGGTATTCCACTTATCACAGTCAACGCTATCGTATGCGTTTTGGGATCCCTTGGAAATGTGCTTGTTTGTTTGGCCATTGCTACAAACTCCCGCCTACGCCGAGCTTCCAACTACCTTCTATTTAGCTTAGCAATCGCTGATCTAATCATGACTTTGATATGCGAGCCAATCCTTTTGAAGTTCATCAGCCAGTTAACCTTCTTCCACAAGTGCAGAACGAGCACGGAAGGACTTGTGTACGATGTTTTAACCAGCCTTTCATGCCAGACTTCATTCCTCCATCTGGCTTCAATCAGTATTGATCGTTTCGTTGCCGTTGCATTTCCACTGCGTCACAAAATCTTCATGGAAAAAGGCGGACTTAAGATTATGCTCATAGCATCATGGTCCCTTCCGATTCTTAATTCCGTTTTATGCAATATCATTTCGACAGGTTCCACTTACTTATATTTTGTCGGAGTTGGAATCTTTTCCTTCAGCGGTTTAAGTATTTTCTTTTTTCACTTTCTGATTGTGGTAGTTCTGCTCTACTACAGGAAGAAAACAAAGCAGTTAAGAGCTCGAACAGTTTCAGTCCGGGTCACTTGCACACTGGCTATCGCAACAGGCGTCTTCATCGTTTGTTGGGTTCCATTAATTACTGTCACGTTTGCCGGGCGGAGAAGCTTTCTACACTTTTGGATGGGAACTCTGGCTATGTCAAACTCAGCCATGAACTTTGTGATTTACTCTGCTAGAATGGGGGACTTCAAAGATGCATATGTTGGCATCTTACGCAAGATGTTCTGCCTGTAGAGCGCTTTGTCGTGCGTTCACTACAGTTTCAAAATCTGACAAACTACTGAGAATCTTGAACCCCGTAGTTATATAATCTTTATCGTTATTATAGGTAAATGCTCCCAAGAAATGAAAATAGCTCTAAAAAGACTTAAAAGTTTGAAGTGTCAGTTCCTTTTACGAATGATTTTCGAAGCTTCCCTATCACAAATCCCTAAGATTTTGGGGAGCATACCCGTAACGTTTTTAGTCAAAAATAGTGAAGGCAAGAGGTATCATAAAATCTTACGTTTTCTTAGTAGAATCTAATTCGTTTGAAATAAACTGAATTCATTAGAGTTGATAATAGCAGAAATAATAATATTAAAATATTCACTCGTTCATTTTCTGTGACCCTTTTGATACACTCGTGGCGGAAAAAGAACGCAGGGAGAAGATCGACCAATATCAAGCATAAAAAGTGAAAGTGCAAAAGATCTGGAACTGCAGAAGTGTTTCTGTCATCCCTATTGTAATTGGGGCTCTTAAGACTGTAAGTAAACACCTAAAGATGTGGATCAGCAAGTCGGAAACACCTGGGATAATTGAAGATGTTTAGAAGGACCCTAGTACACCTAAGGCTATAGAATATAGCTTAATGCTCTGGGGAAATAACGACACCTACAGGTGTAAGGCATGAACATAATAATAATGATGATGATGATGATGATGATGATGATGATGATGATGATGATGATGATGATGATGATGATGATAATGATATTAGTAGTTTACTCAAAGTCGAGAACGTGGGCTGCGGCTTATGTCAAAAACGTTCGACATTTTAATATTATATAGAGACTGAAGTAAGCGTATCGTACATGCATCATCTTAGTTTTTATATTTGAAAACTAACAATAATAAAGCATATTATTCCAAAAATAAGAAGATATCATAGGCAAGGGCTACATTTATATCCTTTAAATCCCGTTAATTTACCAAATAAGTCCTCGAAAATAAGTAATCACGCTTATAGAGTTAAACTGAGTTTTGTAGATTGTTCCAATACTTGTAATATAAAGGTGAAACAATATATGAAAGAGGATTATGTGGGAATTATGCCAAGTGACTACTATTATACGCAATTGATGTCCATTGCTACTACTTCTTAATTATAAAGCGTATTGCGTGGCCTAAAAAAATCAGAGGTATATCTAGCCGGAGTTTTGACAACGTTATCACCAAATGGACCTTTTTGCGTTGCACAGTTTTTTCGGCGCAAATCTATCTCCAGAGTAGCTATTTTAAAAACTAAGCCGAAGTGCAACCGTTGCTTTTTTTTATTCTCCTCCTTTCCTTCTCCTCGCTCTTTCTTTTCTCCTTTCCTTTTCCTTAGTTTGTACTCTTAAGCCGACTTCACTTTACTGTTTTATTCACAATGAAACAAAACTCTGTGTCCTACAAAAGTGAAATCAGGGTGAAATTAATTTTACCAACATTGTCTACAAGGGTTAAAACAACAAAAAGAAACTCTACCAGCAGATATTTCTGTGCTTCGGATAGTTCATTTTCTGAGTACGTTTTCTACTGAGCTCTTTCTGTTTTCGCGGAAAATGTCTCAAAAGTAAAGATAACAAGTACCCAATTTTGAGCGCAAAAAGCCTCAGTAAGTAAAATCTGCAAAGAGCCGAAAACGAAATTCTGTTGGTACACACAGGATCTCTACGAGATCTTGTCCGCAAAATAGCACATATAGGGGTACACTCTGAGATGAACAAAATATAATAATACTTCAGCGGAGAAACCAGATTATTGTACAGCGTAGCATTTGTATTGTTTCTATTGAATGACGTGAGAATGATGTGAAGAATTATGCAGGTTGATGAGAAGAATGCTATCTTGCTGTTTACTTCCTTGTTTCCAGCGCCTGAAACAGGGTTGTTGGATGCCGCATCTGCCTGGAAGCGAGGCTGCTAGGGCAAGTACCATGGAATCCATGTACATAAATTGCTCGTAATTTCCAAACAAGGTAAGCGTCAGAGAGTTATGAAAAATTAGAGGAGTGATTGGAGCCAGTCAAACGGCGAAAAGCGTCTTCACTCGATGAAAGTGTGAAAGAATGATCAGTAATCGATACTCGCCTCGATTTCATACGAGCTCAACTCCCTAGAGGGAAAATATGCTAAAAATGTCCCATCCTATAACCCATCTGATACGTCCCGGATGTTGTCACGCCAACTTTCTTTTCAGCGTCACACATTCATAGAAAAGATATACTAAACAACAGTTCGGCAAAAAGGCATAAAACTCCTATTTGCAAGCAAATATTCCATTACTGTATTACAAACTTGGAGCTATTTTTATTCATATAAAATATAACACTGTCAAAAGTAGACGAAAAAAAGGAACAATACCCAATTACAGTGCCCATGATCTTAGTATTGTTTTCATTCAGTGGTTTGAGTTTTGAATGCCTTTTCTTGCTTACGTCGATAGAATGTATGTAGGACTTTCGGCGTGTTTGATAACAACGTACTTAACGCTTTTCTTCTCCTTAGTGCTAATGATAATAAAGGCAAAGAACTTAATGCTACATTTGAGACGTTCATAGCACCAGTACAAACTACAGACAGCAAACACAAACAGTTGTTTTCTTCCATTGGCTCATGGTATTCCACTGATCACAATCAACGCTATCGTGGGATCACTTGGAAACGTCCTTGTTTATTTGGCCATTACTGCAAACCCTCCCCTACGCCGAGCCTCAAACTACCTTCTCATTCTTCCACGGCTGCATAGCAAGACTGAAACAACTTGCGTACAACACTTAAGTCAGTCTTTCATGCCAAACTTCAATCATTCATTTGGCGACAATCAGCCTTGATCTTTTCGCTGCCGTTGGGTTTCCACTCCATAACAAAATCTTCATGGAAAAACGTGGACTTAAGGTGATGCTCATAGTATCATGGTCCATTCCGATTCTTGCTTCCGTATTATCCTTTATTATTCCGCCAGCTTCCTCTTTCGTGTTATCTTTCGGATTTTTAATCTTTGCCTTCGGCGATTTAAGTATTTTCTTTTTTCACTTTCTGGTTGTGGTAGTTTTGCTCCACCGCAAGAAAAAAACAAAGCAGCTAAGAGCTCGACCAGTTTCTATGAAACTGACTATCCGCATGGAGGTCCGTGTTACTTGCACACTGGCTATCGCAACCGGCGTCTTCACCATTTGCTGGGTTCCTCCAGTGATTGTACTTGTGTTTGCCGCTAAAACACTGAAGCTAAACGGCCCTCTACACATGTGGCTCCAAACTCTGGCTCTATCAAACTCGCGGCCATGAACTTTCTGATTTACTCTGCTAAAATCGGAGACTTCACAGATGCATTTGTTGGCATCGTGCGAAAGATTCTCCGCTTGTAGCCTGTGCTTTAGTTTGCCTTTTCTTAAAGTTGCCCGAAAGTTACAAGAAAGTTCTTAGTGAAGTAATGATTATTTTTAATCTTCATTAAAAGGTTATTTAAATTTAGCGTCTCAGAAACATCACTTGCCCATACTTCTTGCCTAACACCACAACTCCCAGGTCATGTAGACGCCGTTCTCACAATTATCACGCCTGGGTGGCCCTCCACCACAAGAAACTTTATTCTAGCAATGAATCGAGCCAACGTCGACGCCCAGAAATTTCGATGGCTCTAGAAAACTTTAAACTTACAAGCTATAAAATGAAAGACTCTAAAATACTTAAATTTTCCAAGTGTCTGTTTCATTTTCATAACGTTTTTAAAGCTTTTCTATCGATTCCCTCAGACTTTCTTCCTTTTTAGCATATTTGTGAGAGAAAACCGTCGTAAAGTGACCCTTGCATGTCGATTGTATAGGTTGGCGGATGATGTCGAAGGGTTTTGTGGTGGTGTATGAAAACCAAAACCGCAATATACCGTCTTACCTCTCAACATGCTCATCAAAAACGTTACAGTGGCCCACCGAAAAGTGAATTTGAACACTGTTCTCTCTATTGTAAAATGACTGCAAAAGGGCAGGGGCCAACACCAGGTGTCCGTCTTAGAGAGGTGTCCGTCTTATGAAGGTGTCCGTTAACAGAGAGTTAACTGTGCTCACAAAACGAGTATGCGGTATCATCAGCCAAGGTGATACATCCGTTAATACAACAAAAACTATAACAACAACAACCTATACCGGGGAGGGAGGGACACAAGACGTGTGTTATTCATTGCTGAGCCCCCCTCCCCTCCTTTTTTTTTGGGGGGGGGGATTTCCTTTGTTTAATTCCCCCAAGCCTCGTACTGTAGTCAAGTGTAAGTTTTAATATATCGAAATCGGTCGATTATCAACGCGATCAGATATGATTATAATGATTATGAGGGTAATATTAATCGAATAACAACAATTATGATAATAACACAATAATATACATAATACATTCCAGTTAACAGAGTTTAAGTGAAGAACTAACAGCCTTTTTTTCTGCTAGAGATCGGTTATGTTACGTTTGAATAAGCATTGCAGGGTCTGCTCGGTGAGTTAATCAACGACTTGCAGGCGCAGTTTTGTGATAGTATTTATTGTTACACGAAATGTTGTTAGCACCCTACAATATTTTGCTTTTAATGGTTATCAATCTGGGTGATCTTATTGTTGTTATCATAAGGTAGTTTGAGATTTTTAGATGCCTTTACTTGCTTACGTCGATAGACTGTATACAGCTCTTTCGGCATGTTTGATAATATCTTAATTAACCCTTTTTCTTTCATTCGTGCTAATAACCGATAATACGGCCAAAGAGCTTAAACGTCCTTAACACCAGCACAAACTAAACCCACATCTTGAACGTTTCATGGGCAGATACAATAAGTTGTTCTCTTCTATTGGCTCATAGTATTCTGCTGCTCACAGTCAACGCTATCGTGGGCGTTTTGGGATCACTTGGAAATGTGCTTGTTTGTTTGGAAATTGCTACAAATTCCCGCCTACGCCGATCTTCCAACTACCTTCTGTTCAGCTTAGCAATCGCTTGTCTAATCGTCACCTTGATATGCGAGCCAATCGTTCTGGAGTTCATCAGCCGGTTAACCTTCTTCCACAAGAGCAGAACAAGCCAGGAAAACTTGTGTACCACGTTCTGGTTAGTCTTCCATGCCAGACTTCATTCTTCCATTTGGTTTCGATCAGAATTGATTGTTTCGTTGCCGTTGTATTTCCAGTGCGTCACAAAATCTTCATGGAAAAAGGCGGACTTAAGGTTATGCTCGTAACATCATGGTCCCTTTCCGATTCTTACTTCCGTTTTATCCAATATCATTCCGACTGGTTCCACTCCCGTCTTTGGTCTTATCGGATTTGTAATCTTTTCCTTCAGCGGTTTTAGTATTTTCTTCTCTTTAACTTCCTGATTGTGGTAGTTCTGCTCCACCACGGGAAGAAAACAAAGCAGCTAACAGCTCGAACAGTTTCTGTGAAAGTGGTTACCCGCTTGGAAGTCCGTGTTACTTGCACACTGGCTATCGCAACAGGCGTCAACACCGTTTGTTGGGTTCCTATAATGACTGTGTATGCCACTGAAAAATGGCAAAACAGCCCTCTACACTTTTGTCTCACAACCCTGGCTCTATAAAACTCGGCCATGAACTTTCCTATTCACTCTGCTAAAATTCGGGACTTCAAAGATGCATACGTTGGTATCTTTCGAAAGATGCTTCACCTGTAGAGTGCTTGCCTTTCACTACAGTTTCAACATTTGACAAACTAATAGAAAGTTGGACTCGTAATTAATCTCAATTATGAAAGGTTACTTCCTGTTTCGGAACTCTTGCCCGGCGTTATACGCACATCAAACTGGCCTGCCTAGCGCAAGAAACCTGCTTCCTGACATGAATGAATCGATGTCAAAAAAGGAAACCAAACAAGTTGTTCGTTATAAAAGAATGACTTGGGGCAGTAAATGTTTCCCAGAAATTTCAATAGCTCTTAAATGACTTAAATTTCGTTCTAAGGGCCTGTTTACATGGAGGTGGAGGACCCCAGATAGGTGAGGTAACAAGTGGTGGGTCACCCCACCTATCATGTAAACGTGATCAAATTGAAATGATAGATTATATGGTCAGGCAGGTTACCCCACCTAGAAGGGTTACCTCATCTACCTGGGGTCCCCCACCTCCATGTAAACAGGCCCTAAGTGTCTGTCTGTTCCAAGTACGTATGGTTTTCGAAGCTTTTCTATCCCTTAAATCCATGAGATTTTGGAGAGCAGACGTTTTACATTGTAGTCCCCGGATTGGCAACTATCTAAGTTTTCAGTCGAAAATACATACAGGGGCGGTCAGTTGGGTCGCGAAAAACGAAGACGAAAGTTTTCAAGAACGGGTGAGAGAGCCCTTGGGATGCTACGTTTGACGAACAAGTTCCACGATTCATTCGAATGCTCTCTAACTGGGCAAAAAAAAAATTGTGCCCAATCGGAGGCCAGCACAGGCTATCGTGCTGCTCTAGTGATCTTCTAATACGAAGGAGTTTACCTGTAAATTCGACTGTTTGTCGTACCTGTCTGGCTCGTACACGAGAGCTTTCTTCAAGAAGAGTTTTCAGTGAAAACACAGAAAACAAAGAAATTCCATAATTTAGCATGTTAGCAAAACAGAGATCCATGAACAAGTCTAGAAAGAGCTCTGTTGTTTACGAATTTACCTTCGATCAGTCCACAGTCTAATTTCTTTGGTTGGTGCATTCTTTCGTACGGTTTTGTTTTGTTTTGCTAACATGCTAATAATGTCTTCGTTTTTAGGGGGCCCAAAGAAAACTACACTACCCGGGCAGGCACGGCGAACAGACGGGTTTGCGGATAAACTTCTTCGTATAAGAAGATCACGAAAGCAGCGCGATAGATGCTGGCCTCCGAACCAATCAGAGACAAGCATTGGAATGAGTCGTGGAACTGGTTCGTTAAGAGTAAGATCCCAGGCGGTCTCTCGCCCGTTCTTGAAAACTTTCGCGACGTTTCTCCTGACCGAACTGACTGGGTCTCCGAGGATGTCGAAAATAGTGAAACAAGGAGGAATCAGATATTCTTACGTTTTCTTAATAGCGTTTCGTATAAAATGATCTAAATTCATTACCGTTTAATCAATAATAATAATAACCTCCCGGTTTATATTTTCTGCTTAGACCCTTTTAATACGGCACGCGCATAGCAAGAAAGGAACGGGAGAAGACAGACCACTAAAACTCACACTTGGCTGCAAGGCTTGAGATAATAAAATAAAAGAAGTGTATTATTCATTGCTGAGTCTCAAGGTTTTTTTCTTTATTTCTTCTTCTTCTTCTTTTTCTTCTTTTGTTTTATTCCTCAAAGCCTCGAGGTCAAGGGTGAATTTTAACATATATCGAAATTGGTCTATTGTTATTAACTCAACGAGATATGATTATAATGATAATGAAGGGAAAAACGACAATCATTCGAGACGTCCATGTTACCAACAAACTATACAGACAACATGAACGTTTCATCAGCAAACACAAACAGTTGTTCTCTTCCAATGGCTCATGGTATTCTACTTATCTTAGTCAACGCTATCGTTTGCGTTTTGGGATCACTTGGAAATTTGCTTGTTTGTTTGGCCATTGCTACAAACTCCCGCTTACGCCGACCCTCCAACTACCTTCTATTCAGCTTAGCAATCGCTGATCTAATCATCACCTTCGTATGCGAGCCAATCGTTCTGGAATACATCAGCTTCCTAACGTTCTTCCACGAGTGCAGAAGAGGCCCGAACCTACGTGTGTTCTCCATTTCTTCTGGTCTTTCATGCCAATCTTCAGTCCTACATTTGGCGGCAATCAGTCTTGATCGTTTCGTTGCCGTTGCATTTCCCCTGCGTCACAAAATGTTCATGGAAAAAGGCGGACTTAAGATTATGCTCATAGCATCATGGTCCATTCCGATTCTTACTTCCGTTTTACCCAATATCCTTCCGAAAGGTTCCCCTCTCTTCTTTTATTTTATCAGAATTGGAATCTTTGTCTTTAGTGGTTTAAGTATTTTCTTTTTTCACTTTCTGATTGTGGTAGCTCTGCTCTACTACAGGAAGAAAACAAAGCAGCTGAGAGCTCGAACAGTTTCAGTCCGGGTCACTTGCACACTGGCTATCGCAACAGGCGTCTTCACCGTTTGTTGGGTTCCAATAATTACTGTGCTTGCCGTCGACAAATGGCGGAGAAGCCCTCTGCACTTTTGGCGCCAAACTCTGGCTATGTCAAACTCAGCCATGAACTTTGTGATTTACTCTGCTAGAATGCGGGACTTCAAAGATGCATACGTTGGTATCTTACGCAAGATGCTCTGCCTGTAGAGCACTTGTCGTTCACTACAGTTTCAAGATCTGACAAACTACTGAGAAACTTGAACCCATAGTTATATAATCTTCATCGTTATTATAGGTAAATGTTGCCCAGAAATGAAAATAGCTCTAAAAAGACCTAACAGTTTTAAGTGTCAGTTCCATTTAGAATACGTATGGTTTTCGAAGCTTTCCTATCACAAATGCCTCAGATTTTGGGGAGCATACCCGTAACGTTTTTAGTCAAAAATAGTGAAGGCAAGAGGTATCAGAAAATCTTACGTTTTGTTAATAGAATCTAATTCGTTTGAAATAAACTGAATTCATTAGAGTTAATAATAACAGAAATAATAATAATAGTCTTCACTCGTTCATTTTCTGTCACCGTTTTGATAAACTCGTAGCGGAAAAAGAACGCAGGGAGAAGATCGACTACTATCAAGAATAAAAAGTGAAAGACAGTGCAAAAGATCTGGAACTGCGCATGCAGAAGTATTTCTGTCATCCCTATTGTAATTGTGGCTCTTAAGACTATAAGTAAACACCTAAGGATGTGGATCAGCTGAAGTTAGAAACACCTGGGATAATTGCTAAAGATCTTTAGAAGGACCCTGGTACACCTAAGGCTATAGGATATAGCTTGATGCTCTGGAGAAATAACGCCACCTAAAGGTGTAAGGCATGAACATAATAATAATGATAATGATGATGATGCTGCTGATGATGATGATATTAGTAATTTACTTAAAGTCGAGAACGTGGGTTACGGTTCATGTCAAAACGTTCGACAACTTAATATTATCTAGAGACTAAAGTACATAACAATAAGCGTATCGTACATGCATTATCTTAATTTTTATATTTGAAAACTAACAATAATAAAGCATATTATTCCAAAAATAAGAAAGTATCACAGGCAAGAGTCACATTTATATCCTTTAAATCCCGTTAATTTGCCAAATAAGTTCTCGAAAATAAGTAATCAGGCTTATAGAGTTAAACTCAGTTTTGTAGATTGTTCGAATACATGTAATATAAAGGTAAAACAATATATAAAAGAGGATTATGTGGGAATTATGCAAGTGACTACTATTATACGCAAATTACTGTTCATTGCTACTACTTGCCCCTGCAGGGATTTCGCACAGAAGGCGAAATCCCGAGAAGGCACTCTAGTAACTCGCGGGTATATCAAGGAAAGTACTTACAGTTGAAATATACAGTCATACAGTCAATAGAGAAAAAATCTCGATTTGCTTGAACAGGGGCCGCGAGGAATCGGTAGGTAATGACTCGGACGTTTCTATTGTTTGCGCCCGCAAGTACGAAATGGTTAAGATGACGTAAAAACAGAAAATCCCGAAGGGACCCCTCAGGTAGATTTTGTGACATTTATTGTGCAGTCATACTTCGATACTCTTTTGCGTAACGCAGTGACATTCTGTGGAGCAGTTGTTTTGAAAGTTATGGACCAAAAAGCACTTGGAGAGTTTGCCAGACACGAGTTCACAAATCTTTGATTTATATTGGAAACCTTGCCAGACACTCTTTCTCTCTCTTTGACCAGAATTAGACTCAGCCCCAAACAAGCAAGACGAGTGAACAACGGCTAGCCGTATCACTAGCAGAACGATGGACGATTACAGAAATTCGCCGACAATCAAATTCTGTGCTGACTTATTCCCTGCTCACAGATGTCCTTCCGTTATAAAGTTTAAAATAAGACTGGAACGCCCGAGCGTGAATCGATCAAACGTCCTTTTAATTTCTAAGGCTTACTTTCCGGGAAATAAAATGAACGTAATGTAAAAAGTGAAAGAGAAATAGCGAAAAATTCACCTTCTAATTAAATCTTTTCTTATGGTTTAGAATAAACTATTCTCGAAACTGAGAATGTTTTGATCAAAGCTGTGTAAATCGAGCTGAAACTGTGCATGGAACCTTGCGTTTCCAAAGTAGCTATTATAAAAACTAAGCCGGAGTGTAACCACGGCTTTTTTCTCTTCTCCTCCTTTCCTTCTCCTCGCTCTTTCTTTTCTCCTTTCCTTTTCCTTCGTTACTGTGATATTTGGAGCTTCCTTCTCGAGCTTAAGAAACCTGCCTTTTAACGCCTTTTCACTCAAATGACTGCAAATTTCGTTAGGTTGGTTTTCAAAAAAATCGGTTGGATATAATGAGGGCGAGAGTCCCTTAACCGACTTGTAAATCATGCAGATAAAGTGCCATTATACGGCTCTGATGCTTTAGCAAGCACACAACAGCAAGGCCATAAGTAACTCTTCATAGTGCCTAGTGTTAAATGTATTTAATAAATTCCTTAGTTTGTACTCTTAAGCCGACTTCACTTTACTGTTTTATTCACACTAAAACAAAACGCTTTGTCCTACAAAGGTGAAATCACGGTGAAATTAATTTTGCGCATTTATGTTATATCTTGTGCTTTACCAACATTGTCTACAAGGGTTAAGACAACGAAAAGAAACTCTACCAGCAGATATTTCCGTGCTTCGGATAGTATAGTTCATTTTCTGAGTACGTTTTCCACAGAGCTCTTTCTTTCTTCACGGAAAATGGCTCAAAAGTAAAGATAACAAGGGCCCGATTTTGAGCGCAAAAAGCCTCAGTTATAAGTGAAATCAGTAAAGAGCCGAAAACGAAATTCTCTTGGTACACAGAGGATTTCTACGAGATCTTGTCCGCAAAATAGCACATATATAAGGGATACAATGAGATGAAAAAAATATAATAATATATCAGCGGAGAAACCCGATTATTATATAGCGTAGCATTTGTATTATTTCTATTGAATGACGTGAGAATGATGTGAAGAATTATGCAGATTGATGAGGAGAATGCTCTCTTGCTGTTTACTTCCTCGTTTCCAGCGCCTGAAACAGGGTTGTTGGATGCCATATCTGCCTGGAAACGAGGCTGCTATGGCAAGTACGATGGAATCCATGGTACAAAAATTGCTCGTAATTTCCAAATAAGGTAAGCGCCGGCTAGTTATGAAAAATTAGCGGGGTGATTGGAGCCAGTCAAACGGTAAAATATTTTAAATGGATAATAATATGTCATATTAACCTTTCTAGCACGTTAATGTTGATGTTGATATTTTGATCTTGTTGATAATCTGGCTTGTCTGGTTGCCCTAGCAAAAGCTTAGAGAATGTCGTCTTATCTTTGTGAATCAACCTCATATAAGTCCTTCGGACTCGCCATTAAATTTGCTTACGTCAAAGTGGACAGGAAAAACAGATATATTTTTAACCCACAGTAAACACCCGCACCTATCATTTGGAGGTTAATTTAGGCTGATCAAGTTTTTATTTACCAGGAGATGAATCGGCCTGAAAATGTTTTTTGATGTGTTCTTAAAATTTGTTTATTAACAGAGGTTAAATTAACGAACAATGTTTTATTACCTACACTAAAAAATAGGTTTCAAAAATAAATACATACTATCACTAATATAAGTAAACTTTGACAGTTAAAAGCTCAACATCAAATTGCTGTTAATCAGCAGTTTTAATGTTTTCATTTCTTAATTCACAAGACCAGCAGCCCCTGAGTTTGTAGGGTCCAGCACACCTATGGACACCAAAGTACTTTTGGTTTCTTATTCTGGCATCCTTTTTCTTTTTATATAAGAACAAGTTTTATTTATCAGGCTGAATTGTTTCTTACACATCTTGTGCTTTATTGTCCAACTTTAAGCCTGATGTCCTTAATCCACTTGTTCTTATATGCGGGTGTTTACTGTATTACAAACTTGGAGTTATTTTTATTCACATAAAATATAACACTGCCAAAGGTAGACGAAAAAAAGGAGCAATACCGAATTACAGTGCCAATTTTTAGAATGACAAAAAGCCTTTACCATAGCTTAATTGACTACCACAGTAGTAGTCTATCGTCTATAAGTGAAGACTAGATGCATGTAACTGAGGAAGAATCATGAAAGGCAGTCTACAATGGTCAATCCATTTTGGTTTTATTCATGTACTCACGGAAGTTTCGCCCTAGTCTACTTAACTAAACGTAACTATATACTTTATATTAAAACAGCTATGCATTTCTAATGGTAAACAACCAGACTCATAAACTCATTTTTTATGGTAGAGGCCTGCCAGGTCACGCTGGGATTCATGGTCTGCTCGGCGGGGTAACGCCCCGTCCATACGTATCCGGATATTTTTGAATCCGTTGTGTATCCGAAGAGACAAGAAGACAACTACAAAAATAAATTTGTCAAGTAGGATTTACAAAGAAAGAAAAGCGGAGCTACTTGATGGTAAGTGCAATTTTTGTATAGTCGGAGAGAGAAAGAAAATTTTCAAGCTACCGGAGGAGACGTCAACATAACACTCTTTGGAAGACGAAAGAGCGATTTTTTTACAACTATATGAGGCTGAGAGAGAGATATTAAGCTTTCAACTGACTGGAGAGAAATACTTAATAGAAGGCACAACTAGAGTGCTGGCCAAAAGCTGTACAGAATTAGTTTCGACCCAGCAGCGAGTGCCCATATCAGTTCTGCGGTTTTGCACAAGATGAGCCTTTGTGATACTGAATAAGAGCGTCGATGTATTAGTTTGTCTGGGATCACCATACATGCTGTTTGCCATTTATATTCTCAGACTAAGACATCGGCTTTGATAAATCATTCATTGTCTAATTGCACCTGGTCCAGTTTTTAAATCGAAATCAGCAGCAAAAGACGAAACTTAAAAACTGACTTTCACTTAGGGTTCAAGTAAGCTTTGACAAAATAACTGACAACAGCCAACTTTTATTACTTAGAAAATGAGTGTTTAATTAAAGGATTGTCCCAAACGTGTCAATGGCAAATGAAAGGTGTATTGCTATTTCCTCTAGAGAAACTTCGCTGCTAAATTAAAAGGATCTTGAAACAGCTTGGGGTGTGTCTTTTTTTAGCTTAAGTGCACCACACGTCACCTATAAGACGACTATATCGCTGCCGTACTTAGTAATGAGCTGTTGGTAGTTTCAGGACTTTAACCGTTAGGGACTTTATTTCTAAAGCTAGATTTTCAGAATTTCAGATGGAAGCAAACCTCAAATGCAAAAGAATGTATACTTTTCAATTCGAAATACAGTTAACGCAGCAAAACATAAGTTAAGACAAGTTTTCGTAGAACATTTTTTTAGCTTAAAGTACATAATAAAAGCATTAAATTAACTGCTGACTTCAGTGCCATGAAAAGATCATTTAAAAGACTTACGAGTGTGGTTAAGGGAAGGTGGAAACAGCAGTTGAAGGCGATTAATGTTGACTATCTGGGAATCAAGTGAAACTCACAAAGAGGGTAACACGCTTAGAGGTCTTACGCCTAATTTTCACTACTGAGCCGACGCAAACACAAGGGCAGACACTTACAAGTCATCATTTAACCCGGAAAACGGCCTAGACGCACGAGCAAGGATGTGCAAAAGCGCATTAGAGGATATATATTTCAGTTTATTTTCTTTTTCGTGTGAAACGACAAAATTCTCTCTCCCGTAGGTGTTATCTGACGAAAGCAAACTACCGTGAGGATGACATTAATTTAGTTCATTTACGTATCGGGCCGGACAGTATATAAAGAATTAATACATGATGATAACAAAGTCCACCCGCTGATATTACTGTGCTTCGGATAGGTCATTTTTGAGTGCACTCTATGTTAAGCTCTTGCTTTCCTCACAGAAAATGTCTCAGTTGCAAGGATTAAAAGTTCCCGATTTTGAGCAACAAAAAAAACGAAAGAATTGGAGAAATCAGTAAAGAACCAAGAACGGAAATGTTGTTGGCATCAGAGGATCTCTACGAGATCTTGTCAGCAAAAAAAACAAATGTAGGGGTACACCAAATCTAAATAACAATAATAATGTATCGATAATTATACTGAATAACACGTAATATTAGCCTTTTTAGCACGTTATAATTTTGATGTAGTATTGATATTCTGTTCTTGTTGATAATTTGGCTTGTCTGGTTGCCTTAGCAAAAGTTATAGAACGTGTTTTTCGCTGTCCCAATGGACTTCATATAGGTCCTTCGAGCTTATCATAATAAATTCCTTACAGAGGGCGAGAAAAACAGGTATATTTTTAACCTAATTCAAACTTGGAGTTATTTTTATTCATAACACTGCCAAAAGTGGTAGACGAATAAGGAACAATACCAGATTACCGTGTCCATATTTTGTTAAAATGACAGGAAGCCTTTACTATAGCTTCACTGACTACCACAGTAGTAGTCTATGCGCAATAAATGTATTTTACTGTACATAAACAAATGAGGAAGAGACATGAAAAGCCTTTTTTTTATTCCTTAAAGCCCCGAAGTCAAGGGTGAATTTTAACATATATCGAAATTGGTCTATTGTTACTAACGCAACGAGATACCATTATAATGATAATGAAGGGGATATTAATAGAAACACGACAATCATGATAATAACAAATTAATACAAAATCCATCCCAGTTAAAGTTAAGAACTCAGCAACAGCACTGCGTGGTCTGCTCGGCAAGGTAAATTAACGATTTGCAGTTATGGGCTATCATTTAATATTACACGAAATATTCTTAACAAACTAATATCAATATTTTGCTCTTTAATGGTTATCAATCTGGCTGATGTTGTTGTTATCTTTCGGTAGTTTGAGAGGTTTAGGTGTTTTTTCTTGCTTACGTCGAAAGACTGTATATAGGTCTTTTGGCATGCTTGATAATAACTTGCTTGGCCCTTTGTCTTTCATTCGTGCTTATAATAATCCAGGCAAAGAGCTAATGCTACATTTGAGACGTCCATGGTATCAACAAACTACACAGACAACATGAACGTTTCATCAGCAAACAGTTGTTCTCTTCCAATGGCTCATGGTATTCCACTTATCTTAGTCAACGCTATCGTAGGCGTTTTGGGATCACTTGGAAATCTGCTGGTTTGTTTGGCCATTGCTACAAACTCCCGCTTACGCCGAGCTTCCAACTACCTTCTGTTCAGCTTAGCAGTCGCTGATATAATCGTCACTTTGATATGCGAGCCAATCTATCTGGAGTTCATCAGTCGGTTAACCTTCTTCCACAAGTGCAGAACGAGCACGGAAACACTTGTGTACGAGGTTTTAGTCAGCCTTTCATGCCAGACTTCATTCCTCCATCTGGCTTCAATCAGTATTGATCGTTTCGTTGCCGTTGCATTTCCACTGCGTCACAAAATCCTCATGGAAAAATGCGGACTTAAGATTATGCTCTTAGCATCATGGTCCATTCCGATTCTTAATTCCTTTTTATTCAAGATCATTCCGACAGGTTCCACTCCTGTCTCTTATGTTATCGGAGTTGGAATCTTTCTTTTCAGCGGTTCAACTATTTTCTTTTTTCACTTTCTGATTGTGGTAGCTCTGCTCTACTACAGGAAGAAAACAAAGCAGCTAAGAGCTCGAACAGTTTCAGTCCGGGTCACTTGCACACTGGCTATCGCAACAGGCGTCTTCATCGTTTGTTGGGTTCCAATAAGTACTCTGCTTTCCGCTGGAAAGCCCCCGCCCTTGCCGCAGAGAAGCCCTCTATACTTTTGGTTCGAAACTCTGGCTCTGTCAAACTCAGCCATGAACTTTGTGATTTACTCTGCTAGAATGCGGGACTTCAAAGATGCATATGTTGGTATCTTTCGCAAGATGTTCTGCCTTTAGAGCGCTTTGTCGTTCACTAAAGTTTCAAGATCTGACAAACTACTGAGAAAATTGAACTCGTAGTTATATAATCTTTATCGCTATTATAGGTAAATGCTACCAAGAAATGAAAATAGCTCTAAAAAGACTTAAAAGTTTGAAGTGTCAGTTCCTTTTACGTATGATTTTCGAAGCTTCCCTATCACAAATCCCTAAGATTTTGGGAAGCATACCCTTAACGTTTTTAGTCAAAAATAGTGAAGGCAAGGAGGTATCAGAAAATCTTACGTTTTCTTAATAGAATCTAACTCGTTTGAAATAAACTGAATTCCTTAGAGTTAATAATAGCAGAAATGATAGTAATAATCTTCACTCGTTCATTTTCTGTGACTCTTTTGATAAACTCTCGTAGCGGAAAAAAGAACGCAGGGAGAAGATCGACCACTATCAAGTATAAAAAGTGAAAGTGCAAAAGATCTGGAACTGCAGAAGTGTTTCTGTCATCCCTATTGTAATTGGGGCTCTTAAGACTGTAAGTTAAGTAAACACCTAAAGATGTGGATCAGCAAGTTGGAAACACCTGGGATAATTGCTTAAGATGTTTAGAAGGACCTTAGTACACCTAAGGCTATAGGATACAGCTTGATGCTCTGGGAAAATAACGACACCTACAGGTGTAAGGCATGAACATAATAATAATGATGATGATGATGATGATGATGATGATAATGATATTAGTAGTTTACTTAAAGTTGAGAACGTGGGCTGCAGTTTATGTCAAAAACGTTCGACGTTTTAATGTTATATAGAGACTGCAGAAGTACATAACAATACGCGTATCGTACATGCATTATCTTAGTTTTTATATTTGAAAACTAACAATAATAAGAATATTATTCCAATTATAAGAAATTATCATAGGCAAGGGCTACATTTATATCCTTTAAATCCCGTTAATTTACCAAATAAGTTCTCGAAAATAAGTAATCAGACTTATAGAGTTAGACTGAGTTTTGTAGATTGTTCCAATACTTGTAATATAAAAGTGAAACAATATATGAAAGAGGATTATGTGGGAATTATGCCAAGTGACTACTACTATACGCAAATTGATGTTCATTGCTACTACTTCTTAATTATAACGCGTATTGCGTGGCCTAAAAAAATCAGAGGTATAAACTAGCCGGAGTTTTGAAAACGTTATCACCAAATGGACCTTCAGTTTGCGTTCCACAGTTTTTTCGGCGCAAATCTATCTCCAGAGTAGCTATTATAAAAACTAAGCCGGAGTGCAACCGTTACTTTTTTTTCTGTTCTCCTCCTTTCTTTCTCCTCGCTCTTTCTTTTCTCCTTTCCTTTTCCTTTGTTGCTGTGATTTTGGAGCTTCCTTCCCGAGGTTAAGAAACCTGCCTTTTAACGCCTTTTCACTCAAATGACTGTAAATTTCGTTAGGTTGGTTTTCAAAAAATCGGTTAGATAAATTAATGAGGGCGCGAGTCCTTAACCGACTTGTAAATCATGCAGATAAAGTGCCATTATACGGCTCTGATGCTCTAGCAAGTACAGTCAACACCAAGAAGGCCATAAGTAACTCTTCATAGTTCCTAGGATTAAATGTACATTAATAAATTCCTTAGTTTGTACTCTTAAGCCGACTTCACTTTACTGTTTTATTTACACTAAAATAAAACTCTTTGTCCTACAAAGGTGAAATCAGGGTGAAATTAATTTTACTCATGCATTTATGTTATATCTTGTGCTTTACCAACATTGTCTACAACGATAAGAAACTCTACCAGCAGATACTTCTGTGCTTCGGATAGTTCATTTTCTCAGTACGTTTTCTGCTGAGCTCTTTCTTTCTTCACGGAAAATGGCTTAAAAGTAAAGATGACAAGTACCCAAGTACCGAAATTCTGTTGGTACACATAGGATCCCTACGAGATCTTGTCCGCAAAATAGCACATATAGGGATGCATAGACTTTCCAAAAGTCCTTCGTCGGATCGCTCGCTCCGCTGGCCAAGAGGTCGACTTGTAGCAAGTCTAAGGGATACACTGAGATGAACAAAATATAATAATACTTCAGGGGCGAAACCGGATTATTGTACAGCGTATAGCATTTGTATTATTTCTATTGAATGACTTGAGAATGATGTGAAGAATTGTGCAGATTGATGAGGAGAATGCTATCTTGCTGTTTACTTCCTTGTTTCCAGCGCCTGTAACAGGGTTGTTGGATGCCGTATCTCCCTGGAAACGAGGCTGCTAGGGCAAGCACCATGGAATCCATGTACATAAATTGCTCGTAATTTCCAAACAAGGTAAACGCCAGCTAGTTATGAAAAATTAGCGGAGTGATTGGAACCAGTCAAACGGCGAAAGATTTTAAATGGATAATAATATGTCATATTAACCTTTCCAGCACGTTAATGTTAATGTTTATATTTTGATCTTGTTGATAATCTGGCTTGTCTGGTTGCCCTAGCAAAAACTTAGAGAATGTCGTCTTATCTTTGTGAATCAACTTCATATAGTTCCTTTGGACGCGGCATTAAATTTGCTTACGTTAGAGTGGGCGGGAAAAACAGATATATTTTTAACCTACAGTAAACACCCCCACCTATGATTTCGGGATTTAGGCTGATCAAGTTCTTATTGACAGGGAGTGAATCAGCCTAAAAATGTTTTTAAAGTGTTCTTAAAATTTCTTTATTGCAAGAGGTTAAAGGGAACCTCCACTTCAACAAAAAGATAACTTTAAATCACAGGAAATAACTGTTACAGTCAAGTCAATCTAAAATATTTTTAAAGAAAGCGTTTGTATCCGAAAGAAATAACTTTTCGATTCGCCTATTTTTGTTTTCAAATTTTGCGGGCGTCGCCATCTTGAATAATTGTGACGTGTAATGGTTGCCCTATTGTTATCAAACAAAAGCTCTTTGTGTCAGAACAATAGAGCAATCGTAACACGTCACAATTATTCAAGATGGTGGCGCCCGCAAAATTTGAAAGTGAAAATAAGCGATTTTAAAATTCACTTTTCCTGATATAAACACTTTTTTTAAGACAAATTTCGAACAAATTAGTTTATCAACATAATTTTATTCGATTTAAACTTATTCTGTAGTAAGAGTGGAGGTTCCCTTTAAACTAACATACAATGTTCTATTACCTACTCTAAAAAACACATTTCAAAAATAAATACATATCATGACTAATACAAGTAAGCATCAAATTGTTAAGTAGTTTTAACATTTGTTTTATTCATTTCTTAATGCACAAGACCAGCAGCCCCTGATTTTGTATGGTCCAGCACACTACAGTACTTTAATATGAGCACAGTTACTGCTTTGGTTTTCTATTCTGGCATCCTCTCTCTTTTTGAATAAGAACATGTTTCATTTCTCAGGCTGAATTGTCTCTTATACATATTATGCTTTGTTTTCCAACTTTAAGCCCGATGTTTTTAATCCACTTGTTCTTATATGCGGGTGTTTACTGTATTACAAACTTGGGGCTATTTTTATTCATATAAAATATAACACTGCCAAAAGTAGACGAAAAAAAGGAACAATACCCAATTACAGTGCCCATGATCTTAGTATTGTTTTCATTCAGTGGTTTGAGTTTTAAATGCCTTTTCTTGCTTACGTCGATAGAATGTATGTAGGACTTTCGGCGTGTTTGATAATAACGTACTTAACCCTTTTGTTCTCATTAGTGATGATGATAATAAAGGCAAAGAACTCAATGCTACATTTGAGACGTTCATAGCAACAATGCAAACTATAGACACAACATGAACGTTTCATCAGCAAACACAAACAGTTGTTTTCTTCCATTGGCTCATGGTATTAGCAACTAGCAAAAGATATAAATTTGCATCAAAAAGAACTCTCGATTACTTTCCGAAGAAATATCCGGAATATGCTAATAATTGGCTTGTCGTCACAGATGCAGTGAGAGCCGAAACGGTGAACGTCACGGCTCATCGTGTAGGATGGAATACTTAATTATCTTACTCGGGTTATAACATCACAGAAACTCTCACAAAGAGTTGCTCTGATGCAATAATGTATCATTAATCTCTTTACCCGGTAACTGGCATATCCCGGAGATTTAACCGAGGGTCCTTTTTGATGCAAATTCTATCTTTTTGCTAAATGTGCACGTGTATATGAAACTTGAAAACAATGCCAGTGAATAATGAGGACGCTCACTTGTAAACACAAAATATATATCTTTACTCATGCCGACGTAGTTAATGCTCAAAGTTGGGAGGTATCAGCCCCAAAAAATCCAGTCGAGCCACCTTAAGGTGATGCTCATAGTATCATGGTCCATTCCGATTCTTGCTTCTGTATTATCCTTTATTATTCCGCCAGCTTCCTCTTTCGTGTTATCTTTCGGATTTTTAATCTTTGCCTTCGGTGATTTAAGTATTTTCTTTTTTCACTTTCTGGTTTTGGTAGTTTTGCTCCACCGCAAGAAAACAACAAAGCAGATAACAGCTCGACCAGTTTCTATGAAACTGACTATCCGCATCGAGGTCCGTGTTACTTGCACACTGGCTATCGCAGCAGGCGTCTTCACCATTTGTTGGGTTCCTCCAATGATTGTACTTGTGTTTGCCGCTAAAACACTGAATCTAAACGGCCCTCTATACATGTGGCTCCAAACTCTGGCTCTATCAAACTCGGCCATGAACTTTCTGATTTTCTCTGCTTAAATCGGAGACTTCGTAGATGCGTTTGTTGGCATCGTGCGAAAGATTCTCCGCTAATAGCCTGTGCTTTAGTTTACCTTTTCCTAAAGTTGCCCGAAAGTTACAAGAAAGTTTTTAGTGAAGTAATGATTATTTTTAATCTTCATTAACAGCTTATCTAAATTTAGCGTTTCAGAAACATCACTTGCCCAAATTTCTTGCCTAACACCACAACTCCCAGGTCATGTAGACGCCGGTCTCACAATCACGCCTGGATGGCCCTCCACCAAAAGAAACTTTATTCTAGCAATGAATCGAGCCAACGTCGACGCCCAGAAATTTCGATGGCTTTAGAAAACTTTAAACTTGCAAGCTATAAAATGAAAGACTCTAAAACACTTAAATTTTCCAAGTGTCTGTTTCATTTTCATAACGTTTTTAAAGCTTTTCTATCGATTCCCTCAGACTTTCTTCCTTTTTAGCATATTTGTGAGAGAAAACCGTCGTAAAGTGACCCTTGCATGTCGATTGTATAGGTTGGCGGATGATGTCGAAGGGTTTTGTGGTGGTGGATAAAAACCAAAACCGCAATATTATACTGTCTCACCTCTCAACTTACTCTTAAAAAACGTTGCAGTGGCCCACCGGGAAGTGAACTTGAACACTGTTCTCTCCATTGTAAAATTACTGAAAAACGGCAGGGATCAACACCAGGTGTCCGTCTTAGAGAAATGTCCATCTTACGGAGGTGTCCCCGGTTAACAGATAGTTGACTGTACTCACAAGACGAGTATGCGGTATCATCAGCAAAGATACATCGGTTAATACAACAAAAACTATAACAACAACAACCTATATCGGAATAAAACCACGTCAATTTTCAGTTACAAAAAAACTTTTCACTCCTTCAAGAGAATGTCATTCAAAACATATATTGCTTAACATTTGCACCATCTTGAAACCCGTTTGCAGGCTATAAACAGTTCGTTAACAGAATACATCCGTGTCTCTGTCAAATTATGTCAAACATGACAAGAACATTCACCCCATGCCATTAATTAAAATTGAGTTTCTAGCTTACTTTGGTCAAAAGAGATTGCTGTCCTTGCATGCAAAGAAGGTCCCTGATTCGAGTTTCACTGGACATACCGTTTTGTTCAAGAGTATGGCATTGTCCTTTGCGTAGGACGTTGTCTAGTATAGTGATAAATAATGTCCAAAGTGACACTTACTGCCTGTACTACGAGATACTGTTCAAAAAATCTAAGGGAAAGAAAGACAACCACAAAAGTAAATTTTTCGAGTGGGATTTACAAAGAAGGAAAAGCGCTGCACCTTGATGGAAAGTGCAATTTGTCTATACATGTAGCTGGAGAGAGAAAGAAAATTTTCAAGCTACCGGAGAAAACGTCAAACTACCACTCTTTGAAAGACGAAAGAGCGGTTGTCTTACAACTATATGAGGCTGAGAGAGATATTAAACTGTCAACTGATCGGAGAGAAATACTTAGTAGAATGCATAATGAAGTGATAGTTAAAGGTGGAAAAGATCATGTCGTCACACCCTCCACGCTACCGAAACTAGTGCACACAAAATAACTGAGAAAATATCCCAGGATATATGTGAAAGTGTGCATAAATAATGCACGCAAAACAAAGTCGGAAGTTTGTGGAATAACCGTTGAAGCTTTCCACACGGATTATAATTCTTGGCTGAGATCGGGATGATCCAAGTGCTGGCCAAATTAGTTTCGACCCAGCATCGAGTACCCATATCAGTTCTGCGGTTATGCACCAGACGAACCTTTTTTGTGAGACTGAAGAAGAGCGTCAATGTACTACTTTGTCTGGGATCACCATATATGCAATTTGGCATTTATATTCTAGGACTAAGACATCGGCTTTCATAAATTATTCATTTGAGCCCCTTTCGCACACCAACGGGCTGAATGTCTAATTGCACCTGGTCCAGTTTTTAAATCGAAATCAGCAGTAAAAGACAAAACTAAAACTGACTTTCACTTAGGGTTCAAGTAAGCTTTGACGAATTAACTGACAAGAGCCAACTTTCATTACTTAGAAAATGACTGCTGTTTAATTAAATGAGTGTCCCAAACGTGTCAATGGCAAATGAAATGTGTATAGCTATTTCCTCTAGAGAAACTTCGCTGCTAAATTAAAAGGATCTTGAAACAGCTTGGGGTGTGTTTTTTTAGCTTAAGTGCACCACGTCACTTATAAGACGACTATATCGCTGCCTTACTAAGTAATGAGCTGTTGTTAGTTTCAGAAATTTAACCATTAGGGATTTATTTCGAAAGCTAGATTTTCAGAATTTCAGATGGAAGCAAACCTCAAATGCAAAAGAATGTATACTTTTTAATTCGAAATACATTTAACGCAGCAAAACATAAGTTAAGACTATTTTTCGTAGAACTTTTTTTTACCTTAAAGTATACATAATAAAAGCATTAAATAAACTGCTGACTTCAGTGCCAGGAAAAGATCATTTAGAAGACTTACGAGTGTGGTTAAGGGAAGGTGGAATCAGCAGTTGAAGGGGATTAACGTTGACTATCTGGGAATCAAGTGAAACTCACAAAGAGGGTGACACGCTTAACGGACGCCTAATTTTCACTACTGAGCGACGCAAACACAAGGGCAGACACTTACAAGTCATCATTTAACCCGGGAAAACGGCCTAGACGCGCGAGCAAGGATGTGCAAAGGCGCATTAGAGGACATATATTTCAGTTTTATTTTCTTTTTCGTGTGAAATGATAAAATTCTCTCTCCCGTAGGTGTTATCTGACGAAAGCAAACTACCCTGAGGATGACATTAATCTAGCTCATTTATGTATCGGGCTGGACAGTATACAAAGAATTAATACATGGTGATAACCCGCTGATATTACTGTGCTTCGGATAGGTCCTTTTTGAGTACACTCTATGTTAAGCTTTCGCTTTCCTCACATGAATGTCTCAGTTCCAAGCTAAGGATTAAAAGTTCCCGATTTTGAGCAAAAAAACGCAAGAATGGGAGAAATCAGCAAAGAACCAAGAACGAAAATGCTGTTGGCATCAGAGGATCTCTACGAGATCTTGTCAGCAAAAATAACAAATATAGGGGTACACCAAATCTAAATAACAATAATAATGTGTCGATAATTATACAGAATAACACGTAATATTAGCCTTTTTAGCACGTTATAATATTGATGTAGTATTGATATTCTGTTCTTGTTGATAATTTGGCTCGTCTGGTTGCCTTAGGAAAAGGTTATAGTATGTCTCTTTCGCTGTCTCAATGGACTTCATATAGGTCCTTCGAGCTTATCATAATAAATTCCCTATGTCACAGAGGGTGGGAAAAACAGGTATATTTTTAACCTACTTCAAACTTGGACTTATTTTTATTTATAACACTGCCAAAAGTGGTGGACGAATAAGGAACAGTACCAGATTACAGTGTCCATATATTGTTAAAATGACAGAAAGCCTTTACTATACCTTCACTGAGTACCATAGTAGTACTCTATTTCGCAATAAATGTAAATTCCTGTACATAAACAAATGAGGAAGAAACATGAAAAGCCTTTTTGTTGATTAGTCAATCTATTTATGTTTCATTCGTGTAATCTGAGGAGCTCTGAGGTGCATAAGTTTCGCCCTAGTCTACTTTCCTAAAGGTATCTATATTATTAGAAAACAGCCATGCTTGTCTTATCGGGTGAACAGCCAGAATGATAAACGATAAATTGTCTTTTTTTAATTGTTTAGAAGAACTGAATATCGCTCGGAGGTTAAAAATAAAGCCATGTGAGTGATTTAATCTTGACCTCGAAGCAGATAGATTGAGTCAACACTACACTGTCGCTATTTAGTCCAATTCAGTTATAGAAGAATTATTAAAACTCATACTTGTCTACAAGGCTTGAGATGATAAAATAAAAGAAGTGTATTATTCATTGCTGAGCCTCAAGGTTTTTTATTCATTTATTTCTTCTTCTTCTTCTTCTTCTTCTTCTTCTTCTTCTTCTTCTTCTTCTTCTTCTTCTTCTTCTTTTGTTTTATTCCTCAAAGCCTCGAGGCTTTATTTTCATGATAATAACAAATTAATAAATGATCCATGCTAGTTAAAGTTAAGAACTCAGAAACAGCATTGTGTGGTCTGCTCGGCGAGGTAAATTCACGACTTGCAGTTATGGGCTACCATTTAATATTACATGAAATGTTGTTAACAAACTAATATCAATATTTTGATCTTTAATGGTTATTAATCTGGCTGATGTTGTTGTTATCTTTCGGTAGTTTGAGAGGTTTAGGTGCTTTTTCTTGCTTACGTCGAAAGACTGTATATAGGTCTTTCGGCATGCTTGATAATAACTTACTTGGCCCTTTGTCTCTCATTCGTGCTTATAATGATCCAGGCAAAGAGCTAATGCTACATTTGAGACGTCCATGGTATCAACAAACTATACAGACAACATGAACGGTTCATCAGCAAACAGTTGTTCTCTTCCAATGGCTCATGGTATTCCACTTATCTTAGTCAACGCTATCGTTTGCGTTTTGGGATCACTTGGAAATGTGCTTGTTTGTTTGGCCATTGCTACAAACTCCCGCTTACGCTGAGCCTCCAACTACCTTCTATTCAGCTTAGCAATCGCTGATCTAATCATCACCTTCGTATGCGAGCCAATCGTTCTGGAATACATCAGCTACCTAACATTCTTCCACGAGTGCAAAAGAAGCCCGCAACTACGTGTGTACTCCATTTCTTCTGGTCTTTCATGCCAATCCTCAGTCTTACATTTGGCGGCAATCAGTCTTGATCGTTTCATTGCTGTTGCGTTTCCACTGCGTCACAAGATCTTCATGGAAAAAGGCGGACTAAAGGTTATGCTCATAGCATCATGGTCCATTCCGATTCTTACTTCCGTTTTACCCAACATCATCAAGATTCCGACAGGTTCCACACCCGTCTTTTATTTTATCAGAATTGGAATCTTTGTCTTTAGCGGTTTAAGTATTTTCTTTTTTCACTTTCTGATTGTGGTAGCTCTGCTCTACTACAGGAAGAAAACAAAGCAGCTAAGAGCTCGAACAGTTTCAGTCCGGGTCACTTGCACACTGGCTATCGCAACAGGCGTCTTCATCGTTTGTTGGGTTCCAATAAGTACTCTGCTTTCCGTTGGAAAGCCCCCGCCCTTGCCGCAGAGAAGCCCTCTATACTTTTGGTTCGAAACTCTGGCTCTGTCAAACTCAGCCATGAACTTTGTGATTTACTCTGCTAGAATAGGGGACTTCAAAGATGCATATGTTGGTATCTTTCGCAAGATGTTCTGCCTGTAGAGCGCTTTGTCGTTCACTAAAGTTTCAAGATCTGACAAGCTACTGAGAAAATTGAACCCGTAGTTATATAATCTTTATCGCTATTATGGTTAAATGCTACCAAGAAATGAAAATAGCTCTTAAAAGACTTAAACGTTTGAAGTGTCAGTTCCTTTTACGTTTGATTTTCGAAGCTTCCCTATCACAAATCCCTAAGATCTTGGGGAGCATACCCGTAACGTTTTTAGTCAAAAATAGTGAAGGCAAGAGGTATCAGAAAATATTACGTTTTCTTAATAGAATCTAATTCGTTTGAAATAAACTGAATTCATTAGAGTTAATAATAGCAGAAATAATAGTAATAATCTTCGCTCGTTCATTTTCTGTGACTCTTTTGATAAACTCTCGTAGCTGAAAAAGAACGCAGGGAGAAGATCGACCACTATCAAGTATAAAAAGTGAAAGTGCAAAAGATCTGGAACTGCAGAAGTGTTTCTGTCATCCCTATTGTAATTGGGGCTCTTAAGACTGTAAGTTAAGTAAACACCTAAAGATGTGGATCAGCAAGTTTGAAACACCTGGGATAATTGCTTAAGAAGTTTAGAAGGACCTTAGTACACCTAAGGCTATAGGATATAGCTTGATGCTCTGGGGAAATAACGACACCTACAGGTGTAAGGCTTGAACATAATAATAATGATGATGATGATGATGATGATAATGATATTAGTAGTTTACTTAAAGTTGAGAACGTGGGCTGCAGTTTATGTCAAAAACGTTCGAAGTTTTAATATTATAGAGAGACTGCAGAAGTACATAACAATAAGCGTATCGTACATGCATTATCTTAGTTTTTATATCTGAAAACTAACAATAATAAGCATATTATTCCAAAAATAAGAAATTATCATAGGCAAGGGCTACATTTATATCCTTTAAATCCCCTTAATTTACCAAATAAGTTCTCGAAAATAAGTAATCAGGCTTATAGAGTTAGACTGAGTTTTGTAGATTGTTCCAATACTTGTAATATAAAAGTGAAACAATATATGAAAGAGGATTATGTGGGAATTATGCCAAGTGACTACTACTATACGCAAATTGATGTTCATTGCTACTACTTCTTAATTATAACGCGTATTGCGTGGCCTAAAAAAATCAGAGGTATAAACTAGCCGGAGTTTTGAAACGTTATCACCAAATGGACCTTCAGTTTGCGTCCCACAGTTTTTTCGGAGCAAATCTATCTCCAGAGTAGCTATTATAAAAACTAAGCCGGAGTCAGCAACCGTTGCTTCTTTTTTCTGTTCTCCTCCTTTCCTTCTCCTCGCTCTTTCTTTTCTCATTTCCTTTTCCTTTGTTGCTGTGATTTTGGACCTTCCTTCTCAAGCTTAAGAAACCTGCCTTTTAACGCCTTTTCACTCAAATGACTATAAATTTCGTTAGGTTGGTTTTCAAAAAATCGGTTAGATAAATTTGAGGTCGCGAGTCCTTAACCGACTTGTAAATCATGCAGATAAAGTGCCATTATACGGCTCTGATGCTCTAGCATGTACAATCAACACCAAGAAGGCCATAAGTAACTCTTCATAGTTCCTAGGATTAAATGTACATTAATAAATTCCCTAGTTTGTACCCTTAAGCCGACTTCACTTTACTGTTTTATTTACACTAAAACAAAACTCTTTGTCCTACAAAGGTGAAATCAGGGTGAAATTAATTTTACTCATGCATTTATGTTATATCTTGTGCTTTACCAACATTGTCTACAACGATAAGAAACTCTACCAGCAGATACTTCTGTGCTTCGGATAGTTCATTTTCTCAGTACGTTTTCTACTGAGCTCTTTCTTTCTTCACGGAAAATGGCTCAAAAGTAAAGATGACAAGTACCCAAGTACCGAAATTCTGTTGGTACACATAGGATCCCTACGAGATCTTGTCCGCAAAACAGCACATATAGGGATGCATAGACTTTCTAAAAGTCCTACGTCGGATCGCTCGCGGTCGGTCGCTTCGCGGCCAAACAAGGCTCGCTCCGCTCGCCAAGAGGTCGACTTGTAGCAAGTCTAAGGGATACACTGAGATGAACAAAATATAATAATACTTCAGCGGAGAAACCCGATTATTGTACAGCGTAGCATTTGTATTATTTCTATTGAATGATTTGAGAATGATGTGAAGAATTATGCAGATTGATGAGGAGAATGCTATCTTGCTGTTTTGATCCTTGTTTCCAGCGCCTGTAACAGGGTTGTTGGATGCCGTATCTGCCTGGAAACGAGGCTGCTAGGGCAAGTACCATGGAATCCATGTACATAAATTGCTCGTAATTTCCAAACAAGGTAAACGCCAGCTAGTTATGAAAAATTAGCTGAGTGATTGGAGCCAGTCAAACGGCGAAAGATTATAAATGGATAATAATATGTCATATTAACCTTTCTAGCACGTTAATATTGATATTGATATTTTGATCTTCTTGATAATCTGGCTTGTCTGGTTGCCCTAGCAAAAGCTTAGAGAATGTCGTCTTATCTTTGTGAATCAACTTCATATAGTTCCTTTGGACGCGGCATTAAATTTGCTTACGTTAGAGTGGGCGGGAAAAACAGATATATTTTTAACCTACAGTAAACACCCGCACCTATGATTTCGGGATTTAGGCTGATCAAGTTCTTATTGACAGGGAGTGAATCAGCCTAAAAATGTTTTTAAAGTGTTCTTAAAATTTCTTTATTACAAGAGGTTAAACTAACATACAATGTTCTATTACCTACTCTAAAAAACACATTTCAAAAATAAATACATATCATGACTAATACAAGTAAGCATCAAATTGTTAAGTAGTTTTAACATTTGTTTTATTCATTTCTTAATTCACAAGACCAGCAGCCCCTGATTTTGTATGGTCCAGCACACTACAGTACTTTAATATGAGCACAGTTACTGTTTTGGATTTCTATTCTGGCATCCTCTTTCTTTTGAATAAGAACATGTTTTATTTCTCAGGCTGAATGGTCTCTTATACATATTATGCTTTGTTTTCCAACTTTAAGCCTGATGTTTTTAATCCACTTGTTCTTATATGCGGGTGTTTACTGTATTACAAACTTGGGGCTATTTTTTTTCATATAAAATATAACACTGCCAAAAGTAGACGAAAAAAAAGAACAATACCCAATTACAGTGCCCATGATCTTAGTATTGTTTTCATTCAGTGGTTTGAGTTTTAAATGCCTTTTCTTGCTTACGTCGATAGAATGTATGTAGGACTTTCGGCGTGTTTGATAATAACGTACTTAACCCTTTTCTTCTCATTAGTGATGATGATAATAAAGGCAAAGAACTTAATGCTGCATTTGAGACGTTCATTTGAGACGTTCAAAAGCGCATTAGAGGATATATATTTCAGTTTTATTTTCTTTTTCGTGTGAAATGACAAAATTCTCTCTCCCGTAGGTGTTTATTTATTTTTTATTTTATTTTATTTGCCACACTAATTACAAAAAATATAGGAAAAGAAGAAGAAGAAAAAAAAAAAGAAGTGGCGAGGAGACCTAACAGAAACTATAGGAGCTTATGAGAGGTTAGGCCTCCTCGAACTATGAGCTAGAGCTGTTTCACATCAATTGAAGAGAAGAAGGCGAAAAGTCGAAGATGGAAAGATTTATAAACTGTTTTCATACTTACTCAATAATTTAATCTTCAGTTTTTTCTTAAAAGAGGAGAGGGATTGAGAGTTGATGATCTTGTTGTCAAGTGAATTAAAAAACTTAGGCCCTTGAAAAAAGGGCGAGAACTTCTTCGTGTTTGTACGACAATACGGTAGACGGTAGGCCTGGGAATTTCTTGTATTGTAAGAGTGGAATTGATTGCTTTGAGAGAAATTGTTATTAAACTTTGGAGGTAAGAATGAATTTTTGCAAGAATACATAAATTGGCCCAGTTGAAGCAAATGGATATCATTAAATTTTAGTATACCGAGGTCCTTAAAGATGGGGTCAGTATGAGCATTAAAATGTGATTTATTAATAATTCTAATAATGCGCTTTTGCAGGATAACAAGGCGGCGGAGATTAGTTTTATAGGTCGAAGCCCAAACGATATTGCAGTAGTAAAAATAAGGATAAATTAAGGAATAGTAGAGCATACGTAAAGACGATTTAGGAAGAAAGAAGCTGCATCTAGATATTATACCGATTGACTTCGCAACTTTACCTGCAACGTGAGATATTTCCGACTTCCAATTTAGGTTTTCATCCAAAATTACGCCTAGAAAATTTGCCTCCTTTACTTTAACAATATTTTGATTATCTATACTTATTTGAATATTACAAATTGAACGCTTTTGTCTTGGTTTGAAGACCATAAATTTAGTCTTTTTAAGATTTAGAGAAAGCTTGTTTGCTTTAAACCAGATTGACAGTTTGTCCATCTCCAAGTTTAACATATCTGAGAGATAGTTCAGATCTTTATGTGACATGAATACATTGGTATCGTCAGCGAACAATATCAGATTTAATAGATTAGAATTAGTTTAATAGATTAGAATTAATTTAATAGATTAGAATTAGTTAGATAATTAGTTATCTGACGAAAGCAAACTACCCTGAGGATGACATTAATTTAGCTCATTTATGTATCGGGCTGGACAGAATACAAAGAATTAATACAGGGTGATAACTCGCTGATATTACTGTGCTTCGGATAGGTCCTTTTTGAGTACACTCTATGTTAAGCTTTCGCTTTCCTCACATGAATGTCTCAGTTCCAAGCTAAGGATTAAAAGTTCCCGATTTTGAGCAAAAAAACGCAAGAATGGGAGAAATCAGCAAAGAACCAAGAACGAAAATGCTGTTGGCATCAGAGGATCTCTACGAGATCTTGTCAGCAAAAATAACAAATATAGGGCTACACCAAATCTAAATAACAATAATAATGTGTCGATAATTATACAGAATAACACGTAATATTAGCCTTTTTAGCACGTTATAATATTGATGTAGTATTGATATTCTGTTCTTGTTGATAATTTGGCTTGTCTGGTTGCCTTAGGAAAAGGGTATAGGATGTCTCTTTCGCTGTCTCAATGGACTTCATATAGGTCCTTCGAGCTTATCATAATAAATTCCCTATGTCACAGAGGCGGGAAAAACAGGTATATTTTTAACCTACTTCAAACTTGGACTTATTTTTATTCATAACACTGCCAAAAGTGGTGGACGAATAAGGAACAGTACCAGATTACAGTGTCCATATATTGTTAAAATGACAGAAAGCCTTTACTATACCTTCACTGAGTACCATAGTAGTGCTCTATTTCGCAATAAATGTACATTTCTGTACATAAACAAATGAGGAAGAAACATGAAAAGCCTTTTTATTGATTAGTCAATCTATTTATGTTTCATTTGTGTAATCTGAGGTGCATAAGTTTCGCCCTAGTCTACTTTCCTAAAGGTATCTATATTATTAGAAAACAGCCATGCTTGTCTTATCGGGTGAACAGCCAGAATGATAAACGATAAACTGTCTATTGTTAATTGTTTTGATGAACTGAATGTCGCTCCGAGGTTAAAAATAAAGCCATGTGAGTGATTTAATCTTGACCTCGAAGCAGATAGATTGAGTCAACACTGCACTGTCGCTATTTAGGCCAATTCAGTTATAGAAGAATTATTAAAACTCACACTTTTCTACAAGGCTTGAGATAATAAAATAAAAGAAGTGTATTGTTCATTGCTGAGCCTCAAGGTTTTTTATTCATTTATTTCTTCTTCTTCTTCTTCTTCTTCTTCTTCTTCTTCTTCTTCTTCTTCTTTTGTTTTATTCCTCAAAGTCTCGAGGCTTTATTTTCATGATAATAACAAATTAATAAATGATCCATTCTAGTTAAAGTTAAGAACTCAGAAACAGCATTGTGTGGTCTGCTCGGCGAGGTAAATTCACGACTTGCAGTTATGGGCTACCATTTAATATTACACGGAATGTTGTTAACAAACTAATATCAATATTTTGCTCTTTAATGGTTATTTATCTGGCTGATGTTGTTGTTATCTTTCGGTTGTTTGAGAGCTTTAGGTGCTTTTTCTTGCTTACGTCGAAAGACTGTATATAGGTCTTTCGGCATGCTTGATAATAACTTACTTGGCCCTTTGTTTCTCATTCGTGCTTATAATGATCCAGGCAAAGAGCTAATGCTACATTTGAGACGTTTATAGCACCAACAAACTATACAGACAACATGAACGTTTCATCAGCAAACACAAACAGTTGTTCTCTTTCAATGGCTCATGGTATTCCACTTATCTTAGTCAACGCTATCGTTTGCGTTTTGGGATCACTTGGAAATGTGCTGGTTTGTTTGGCCATTGCTACAAACTCCCGCTTACGCCGAGCCTTCAACTATCTTCTATTCAGCTTAGCAATCGCTGATCTAATTATCACCTTCATATGCGAGCCAGTCGTTCTGGAATACATCACCTTCCTAACATTCTTCCACGAGTGCAGAAGAAGCCCGAAGAGACGACTTGTGTACACCATTTTTTCTGTTCTTTCATGCCAATCCTCAGTTTTACATTTGGCGGCAATCAGTCTTGATCGTTTCGTTGCCGTTGCGTTTCCACTGCGTCACAAAATCTTCATGGAAAAAGGCGGACTTAAGATTATGCTCATAGCATCATGGTCCATTCCGATTCTTACTTCCGTTTTACCCAATATCATTTCGACAGGTTCCACTCCTGTCTTTTATTTTATCAATATTGGAATCTTTGCTTTTAGCGGTTTAATTATTTTATTTTTTCACTTTCTGATTGTGCTAGTTCTGCTCTACTACAGTAAGAAAAAAAAGCATATAAGAGTTCGAGCAGTTTCAGTCCGGGTCACTTGCACACTGGCTATCGCAACAGGCGTCTTCATCGTTTGTTGGGCTCCAATAATTACGGTGCTTGCCGTTGACAAATGGCGGAGAAGCCCTCTACACTTTTGGCTCCAAACTCTGGCTCTGTCAAACTCAGCCATGAACTTTGTGATTTACTCTGCTAGAATGCGGGACTTCAAAGATGCATATGTTGGTATCTTACGCAAGATGCTCTGCCTGTAGAGCGCTTTTCGTTCACTACAGTTTCAAGATCTGACAAACTACTGAGAAAGTTGAGCCCGTAGTTATATAGTCGTTATCGTTATCATAGGTAAATGCTGCCCAGAAATGAAAATAGCTCTAAAAAGACTTAAAAGTTTGAAGTGTCAGTTCCTTTTAAGTGTGATTTCGAAGTTGTCCAATCACAAATCCCCAAGATTTTGGGGAGCATACCCGTAACGCTTTTAGTCAAAAATAGTGAAGGAAAGAGATATCAGAAAATCTTACGTTTTCTTAGTAGATCGTTTGAAATAATCTGAATTCATTAGAGTTAATAATAACACATAATAATAATGATCATCTTCACTCGTTCATTTTCTGTAACCCTTTTGATAAACTCATAGCGGAAAAAGAACTCAGGGAGAAGATCGACCACTATCAAGAATAAAAAGTGAAAGTGCAAAAGATCTGGAACTGCAGAAGTGTTTCTGTCATCCCTATTGTAATTGGGGCTCTTAAGACTGTAAGTTAAGTAAACACCTAAAGATGTGGATCAGCAAGTTGGAAACACCTGGGATAATTGCTAAAGATCTTTAGAAGGACCCTAGTACACCAACGGCTATAGGATATAGCTTGATGCTTTAGGGAAATAACGCCACCTACAGATGTGTGGCTTGAACATAATAATAATGATGATGATGATATTAGTAATTTACTTGAAGTCGAGAACCTGGGCTGCGGTTCATGTCAAAAACGTTCGACACCTTAATATTATATAGAGACTAAAGTATCACATAACAATTGACGTATCGTACATGCATTATCTTAATTTTTATATTTGAAAACTGACAATAATAATTTAAAAAGCATATTATTCCAAAAATAACAAAGTATCATAGGCAAGAGTTACATTTATACCCTTTAAATTCCGTTAATTTACCAAATAAGTTCTAGTATTAAATGTATTTAATAAATTCCTTAGTTTGTACTCTTAAGCTGACTCCACTTTACTGTTTTATTCACACTAAAACAAAACTCTGTGTCCAACAAAGGTGAAATCAGGGTAAAATTAATTTTGCTCATTTATGTTATATCTTGTGCTTTATCAACATTGTCTACAAGGATTAAAACAACGATAAGAGACTCTGCCAGCTGATATTTCTGTGCTTCGGATGTTCTCATTTTCTGAGTACGTTTTCTACTGAGCTCTAATTCTTTCTTCACGGAAAACGTTTCAAAAGCAAAGATAACAAGTATCCGATTTTGAGCGAAAGAGCAAAGAGCCGAAAACGAAATTCTGTTGGTACACAAAGGATCTCTACGAGATCTTATCCACAAAATAGCGCATATAGGGATACACTGAGATGAACAAAATATAATAATATATCAGTGGCGAAACCGGATTATTATACAGCGTAGCATTTGTATTATTTCTAGTGAATGACGTGAAAATGATGTGAAGAATTATGCAGATTGATGAGGAGAAAGCTATCTTGCTGTTTTGTTCCTTGTTTCCAGCGCCTGAAACAGGGTTGTTGGATGCCATATCTGCCTGGAAACGAGGCTGCTAGGGCAAGTACCATGGAATCCATGTATATACATAAATTGCTTGTAATTCCAAACAACGTGATTGGAGCTAGTCAGACGGCGAAATATTTTAAATGGATAACAATATGTCATATTAACCTTTCTAGCAAGTTAATATTGATATTGATATTTTGATCTTGTTGATAATCTGGCTTGTCTGGTTGCCCTAGCAAAAGCTTAGAGAATGTCGTCTTATCTTTGTGAATCAACTTCATATAGGTCCTTCGGACTCGGCATTAAATTTGCTTACGTCAGAGTGGGCGGGAAAAAGAGATATACCGTAAAATTCCGAAAATAAGACCCGGGGCTTATATTTTTCAAAGGCCCTTTTTGAGGGGCTTATTTTATGGTGGATAGCTTTCTTTTCGGAGGTGCTTATCTACGGAGGAAATTTCTCGTTTTTAATCGATTGGGAAACCCTTATAGTTTACGAAGGAAATTTTACCGTTTTTGCTTTGTTTTTTTTTTAAATTTTTGGGCAATTTTCAAGAGTTGAAAACAATAGCCAAGAAAAGTTTAAATTTGGAGGGGCGATTTAACGGAGGGTTTTTTGTTATTCAAACCGGTTTGGGGGCTTATTATTTGGAGGGGTTATACATGGAGGGGTTTATTTTCGGAATTTTACGGTATTTTTAAACCCATCAGTAAACACCCGCACCAATACGAAAATTCAGGGTTTTTGCTGATCATGTTCGTTACCGTTGGAGTGAATCGTTCAACCTGGACCGTTTCTTAAAGTGTTCTTAAAATTTCTTTATTACAAGAGGTTAAACTAACATACAATGTTCTATTACCTACTCTAAAAAATAAATTTCAAAAATAAATACATACCATGGCTATAATATAAGTAAACATTAACAACATGAACAACTCAACATCAAATTGTTAAGTAGTTTTAACATTTGTGTTCATCTCTTAATTCACAAGACAAGGGGCCCCTGAGTTTGTATGGACGTCTAGCACGCCACAGTATTTTAATATGAGCACTGTTACTGTTTTGGTGTTTTATTCTGGCATCGTCTTTCTTTTTGTATAAGAACATGTTTCATTTCTCAGGCTGAATTGTCTCTTATACATATTGTGCTCTATTGTCCAACTTTAAGCCTGATGTCCTTAATCCGCTTGCTCTTATATGCAGGTGTTTACTGTATTACAAACTTGGAGTTATTTTTATTCATATAAAAATATAACATTGCCAAAAGTAGACGAAAAAAAGGAACAAGACCGAATTACAGTGCCCTACCCTGCGAGGAGAGGCTACAAAGTTTTCGCGGTATGAGTTCGCGTGGGAAAAGTAGCCTCTCCCGACAACCGAATAAGTTAAAATTTGGGTTTTTACCTGTTCTTGACCGGTTTAGAACATTGCGTGAGTCTTGCGTCAGCGAATGAACGCTGACCATTATTGCGCCTTCATGCATCCCTTCGCGCCAAATTCTCGCGTACGAACGCGGACCCAGTTTAAATAGATGTTTTATACGACTTGAAACGGATTTTCGCGTTGGCATTTGCATTGATGTCTTCGGCCGCTTTTAAATGAGTGAAATGTTCCACGATCCAGTTAGTACACCTTTTGCTGTTCATTACGAGAAAATACGCAATCATTTGCGTAGAACCGCGACCAATAGCGCGAAGATACATTCATTAGCGCGAAAAAGCGAACATTTGCGCATAAATCAGATTCAATAACGATTTTTGCATTTTAATCAACATTCAATAACACTTTTGGGCATTCATATGGGTCATTGGGCATACAGAAGAGAAAAATATACTTTCATTAACGCCAACATCAAAGTCATTAACACCATCTTGAAAGTCAATAGGGACAACTGACATACATTAAAGTGCAAGCACTATTCATTAATATTTTTATGACACTGTTTACAATTCAATAGCATTCCTGGACAACCTTAGGATGGATAAGACAAATATTAATGCGCTTGTACAATCAATTGAGTGTTCTTTACATTTAATATGCAAAAAACGATTTTCAATTAAACAATAGAAATTCCCCCCAAAATTGGCCTGAATTTGTTTAAAGAATCACGCCGTACTTCGCCACTGCTTGTTCGTCGACGGCTGCGGGTATACATTTTCCTTAGACGGCCAGAAGTCATGGTGGGGCGCGACAGGGAGTGGAGGGCGTACCGCTAAGTGTGCGGCCAAAGAGGACGAAACTTGACTATGACCATGGCAATATCACCTATTAATGTTTTCGTCGGCATCTGCTAGAGTAATGAATACTGTGTCGGTTTTTTTTCTGGCACGGGCGAGGAAATAATGGATCCCGATAAATCGGTGGTCTTTGCGTATGACGGGGTGCCAGCCCACCTAGATTTGGCCATTCCCGCCCCACATACACAGCTTATGCTTTCCCCCTTGATATCATTGAAAAGGATTTAAGTTGTCTGAAAGCGACACCAAAGGCCGACATCTCGAGTCTGGAAATTTAAAGATGTATAACAGGAATGAGGGCAAAGTCCTAGCAATCCCGCTAGCGGAGTTCGGAAACAACAACTGCAGTGCTTGAAGCTCTGCGCAGAAACATGACATTGTGACCGCAGCTAAATGTGCGAAGGGGTACCATTTCATACAAACCTACCTCCCAAAATGTTTGAATAGCGAGGTTTTTGAGGGATATACATTTAACGGAGTGAAATTCGGGCCAATTTTGGGAGGAATTTCTATTGTTTAATTGAAAATCGGTTTTTGCATATTAAATGTAAAGAACACTCAATTGATTGTACAAGCGCATTAATGTTTGTCTTATCCATCCTAAGGTTGTCCAGGAATGCTATTGAATTGTAAACAGTGTCATAAAAATGTTAATGAATAGTGCTTGCACTTTAATGTATGTCAGTTGTCCCTATTGACTTTCAAGATGGTGTTAATGACTTTGATGTTGGCGTTAATGAAAGTATATTTTTCTCTTTTGTATGCCCAATGACCCATATGAATGCCCAAAAGTGTTATTGAATGTTGATTAAAATGCAAAAATCGTTATTGAATCTGATTTTTGCGCAAATGTTCGCTTTTTCGCGCTAATGAATGTATCTTCGCGCTATTGGTCGCGGTTTTACGCAAATGATTGCGTATTTTCTCGTAATGAACAGCAAAAGGTGTATTACGTGAATTGCTTTTAAGGAGAAAATTATGGGTTTTCGAATAAAATTTTTCGATAAATAATTTCTCTGACTACTGTTTTGTCTATGTTCATTCATAACATTAGTTTAAAACACAATCGTAAGACTACAGCATCCAATTTATTTCAAGCATCACTTCTGTGTAGCGTCGTCGCCGAATTTCATTTTTCCTTTGAGCACAACTATGGGTTTACTGGTTAAGCTTATTATAGATTAAAAATAAGAAATTTTTGAAAGCTTATTTGCACCCTAAGTTAACTGCTTAGATAGTCATGAAACTACCGTTTTTTGAAATGAAAACTTCGTAAAGACGCGCCGATGGAATAGTCTTTTATGGGTTATACCAGCGCTCCGAAAAACGTTTTAGAACATTTTTCCAGCCTTTGATATATAGCATCAATGTGTTTGCAATAATTTTTAAAAAGGCGTTGAGATTGTTTAACTCTGGCCAACAGATCATAAGATGATCTCTTCCTCTGACTTAAAAACGTCTTTAACATGAGTGTATTACTATAGGTAATAAGCCGGAAAAAACTGCCGTTTGAAGTTAAATGTGTTCCCCGCAAAGCAGACAGGACTTACTAAAGTTGATAACATAAAAATACTTTCCTAAAAAAGACGATTCGTGGACATTTTGCAGCTAAAATACTTAAAACCAGAGGGGACGAAGCAGAAAACAAAACAAAAGATCGAGGAGAGTTGTTCGCGAAAACTCACGCAGATTTGACGAACCAGTTGCTTGCGAATCGCGTGACGAATTTTGCGTGTGCACGATAGAAAATTGAACGGTTGTCGGCAGAGGCTACTTTTCGCACGCCAGCTCATATCCGCGAACATGTAGCCTCCGCTCGCAGGATAACAGTGCCCATGATCTTAGCATTGTTTTCATTCAGTGGTTTGAGTTTTAAATGCCTTTTCTTGCTTACGTCGGTAGAATGTATATAGGACTTTCGGCATGTTTGATAATAACGTACTTAACCTTTTTCTTCTCCTTAGTGCAAGTGATAATGAAGGCAAAGAACTTAATGCTACATTTAAGACTTCCATAGCACCAGTACAAACTTTACACACAACATGAACATTTCATCGGCAAACACAAACAGTTGTTTTCTTCCACTGACTCATGGTATTCCACTGATCACAATCAGCGCTATCGTCTGCTTTCTGGAATCTCTTGGATTACGTCAGTCCTTGTTTGTTTGGCCATTACTACAAACCCTCCCCTACGCGGAGCCTCAAACTACCTTCTCTTCACCTTTATTCCGCCAGCTTCCCCTTCCGAGTTATCTTTCGGATTTTTTATTTTTGCCTTCAGCGAAAACTGAAGCTAAACGGCCCTCTACACATGTGGCTCCAAACTCTGGCTCTATCAAACTCGGCCATGATCTTTCTGATTTACTCTGGTAAAATCGGCGACTTCAGAGATGCATTTGTTGGCATCTTACGAAAGGTGCTCCGCTTGTAGCTGGAGCTTACCTTTTGCTATACAGTTTCAAGATTTGAAAAACTACCAGAAAGTTCCTAGTGTTCAACTCGTGATTAATTATAATCGTCATTAACAGGTTATCTAAATTTAGCATATCAGAAACTTCAAGTACCGGCACTTCTTCTCCAGCACAACAACTTCTGTGTAGACGCCGGTCTTACAATCACGCCGGGATCGGGGCCCCCAGCGCAAGAAACTACGTTATGGCAATGAACTGAGCCAACGTCAACACCCAGAAATTTCAATAGCTCAAGAAAAACTTAAACTTGAACTTAAACGCTTTAAAATAACGACTTGGGGCAGTTAATGTTGCCCAGAAATTTCAATAGCTCAAGAAAAACTTACACTTGAACTTAAACGCTTTAAAATAACGACTTGGGGCAGTTAATGTTGCCCAGAAATTTCAATAGCTCTAAAAGACTTAATTTTTCTAAATGTCCGTTCAATTTACATGACGTGTTTGAATCTTTTCTTTAACGTCCCTAAGATTTTACGCTTTTAGAAAGTATATTTGTAAGGGAAATCCGTCGTAGGTATAGAGTGCCCATGGTATGTCGATGGTACAGGTTGTCGGATATTGTCAACGGGTTTTGTGGTGGTGGATAAAAACTAAAAACTATACGGTCCCACTTCTCAACATACTCCTTAAGAAAGCTACAGTAACCCCGTTGCAGCTTGATTGACAAGGTACACAATGAACAAAAGAGGGCCGTACCATTGTTTTCCTAATATAAATAACTTGTGGAATTGCCTTCATCATAGCAAAGGCTTGAGCGTATATTGTTGTAAGAAACGTTGTGCTAGGGGTTGATAATAACACATTAGTTATACTCCCATAATTATCTTGTTTTATCGCAGATACATTATGGACATCTCATTGTCTCTTGGTATGCATTTACCTATTCTATAAAATTGTTTCGTTAGCTTCACTTGCCTTTTCAAACGGAAGTAAGGCCAGTGTTACAAGTTACCTACAATTGGCGACAAAATTGTTGAGACATTGTAACCATACAATTTTCCGAGAAAACAAATGCACTCAAATAGGGTAACTTCAGAAAAAAACCAATCCACCCCCCTCCCCTCCCCTCCCCTCCATTCAAAGTAGGGGTGTTTGTTGTTTTCTACTGGTAGCTCGAACAGAGAAACAACATTGCATGAAGGGGATGGTGGGGGGGGGGGGGAGCTTTATTTTCCCCTTTTAATTTCGGTAAAACGTCAGAAAGCCCCATTAAGGCGGAGTTTCTAAACTAATTTTGTCTCCGATTGTAGCCTTGCTCCCTTGCTTGTTAACTTTCTCATCGCCTATTCCACAAAGGATACCCGGCGACAACAAATCCTTTTACTGTGAAATGGATATTTTTATTCATGTCAAATCAACTGCTTACTCACTGTCTACAAGGGATATCTGGCGAAAACAAACTCCACAACTGCAAGAGATAATTATGCTTCGGACATTTTATTTTCAGATTAAAATTTCTGCTGAGCTGTCTCATTGCCTTAAAGAACACGTATGCCCTTAGGAGTAAAGACTACCGGGCCGCGGGTGAATAAGTGAAAATAAGTGAAATTAGTGAAGGATCTCGAACGGAAATACTGTTTATAGGCATGAAGAAACTCTACGTAATTTAGTCAGCAGATATGATTAATCAAAGACCATATCATGTGAATTAATAAACCTTTTTAGAACTCCAATATTGATATTGTGCTTTTGTTGATAATCTGACTTATCTTTTCCTTCTTCGAAAGCTAACGTCAGTACGTCATGTACGTCAGTTATCTTCAGTATAGGTCCTTCGAACTCAGCATAAGATTTGTTCATGTCAGAGTGGGCGGAAAAAACAGATATATTTTTAACTTACTACAAATTTGGAGTCATTTTATAGTTATAGCAGTGTTAGTAATAGACGAAGAAGAAGACACATACAATACAGCCTTTGCGAAATCCAGAGCTCCATACCGAACTACAACTGAACATGAATGTTTCACTGAAAACTACAAATGACTGTTCCCTTCCCCTGTCTCAAGGTATTGCTTTGATAATAGCCAACGCCATTGTGTGCTTATTTGGTTCATTGGGCAACTTACTAGTTTGCTTTGCCATTGCCACAAATCCTCGACTTCGTCGAAGCTCAAACTACCTTCTATTAAGCTTAGCCATTGCAGATTTGATCGTCACCTTGGTATGTGAACCCTTCCTTTTGGAAATTTTCTACAATCGAACATTTGTTTACGGATGCAAACCAAACTTGGAAAGACTGTACTCTATTTTAGCCAATCTCTCCTGCTCCACTTCAGTGGTTCATTTGGCCTGTATTAGTGTGGATCGATTTATCGCCGTTGTGTTTCCTCTGTACCACGAAATCATCATGAAGAAATGTGGGTTAAAGATTATGTTGATAGCATCTTGGGCATTCCCGATTTTAGTGCCCATTCTTAGGGTTGTTCTGCCACCTTCCTTTCCCAACGCGTTCTTGGCGATTGCGTCGTTTGCCTTCAGTTATTTTGTTGTCATCTTCTCATACCTTCTGATTATGGTGTTCTTGCTCATCCACAAGAGAAAAAGGAAGCGGCTGCGGGCTCGGGCAGTTTCTGTTGATCCCTCATCAAACCTGGAGATCCGTGTTGCCTGCACGCTAGCCATTGTCATTGGTGTTTTCACAGCTTGTTGGGTCCCGTTAATGACCGCATTGTTTGCTGCCGGTAAATTATTGATGAAGCGAAACGGCCCTCTACACATGTGGCTCCGGAATGTGGCTCTGTCGAACTCAGCCATGAATTTTCTGATTTACTCTGCAAGAATCCGTGACTTTAAAGACTCATACGCAGCTATCTTTCGAAAGATGTGCCGTCTGTAGAGTTTGTTGCGAACTTTGCTTATAAACAATTGATGTCGCTAATATGTTTGTGATCTTCTCAAAGATGCAGAAGTTCTCGATTCCTTTTGCTATGTCATTAAAAGAACTTCACTTGCTTAAGGCTACTTGCTTATTTTATACATTTATATCCCGTAGTTCTGATTTTTTATTAATTGATTTATTTGATCTCGATCTGAGCAGAGTGGTGAGACAAAGTTGCACTGACTCTGATTTTGGCCGAGTCAGTTAAAATTATTAACCCGCAGTATATGATTAGAATGATACTAATGGGCGATATTGATCGTAAAACGAAAACCACGATAGCAATACACAATCACGCCATCCACGTTAAAGTTAATAACTAATAAGTGCTACTCTTTACGACGGTTTTATTGCCGGTAGAGTCACGTTCGGATCATTCACAAATAAATAAAAAACTGGAAGGAAATATTGTTAGCAAGGTCATATTTTGCCGTTGTAGTTGTCAATCTGGCTGATCTTGCTGAGTCTTCTCATCAACTGATAGTTTGAGAGTTTCAGAATGTCTGTTTCTTGTTTACGTCATAGAACTCTTTACGTCATTAGCATCCGTCGCTTATGATAAGCGCTGGGTGCTAATGATAAAGGAGGTATCAAAAATATAACTTGGTACCGTTTTTTCGACATGCAGAACACCAGCCGAAATTCCTCGATAAACTCGATTGGCTGTTCTCTTTCCATGGCACATGGTATTCCACTTATCATCATCAACGTTATCGTCTGCGTTTTTGGAACACTTGGAAACTTCCTTGTTTGCTTGGCTATCGCTACAAACTCTCGCCTACGCCGAGCCCCAAACTACCTCCTGTTCAGCTTAGCAACCGCTGATCTAATCGTCACCATGATAGGAGAGCCACTTCTTCTGGAATTCATCAGCCGGATAACATTCTTCCAAGAGTGTACTGCGAGTCTGCAACAAATTGTGTATTACGCATTAGCCGATCTTGCATGCGCCATTTCGGTCTCGCATATGGTGGCAATCAGTTTCGATCGATTCGTTGCCATTGCGTTTTCATTGCGTCACAAAATCTTCCTGAAGAAATGGGGACAGAAGGTTATGCTCATAGCATCATGGTTTATTCCGATTCTTGGTGCTACTTTATTCTTCATCATTTCGCCAGCTTCCTCTTCCTACATATCCGTCGGATTTGGAATGTTTGTCTTCAGCTGTTTAAGTATTTTCGTTTTTCACTTCCTGTCAGTGGTATTTCTACTCCACCAAAGAAAGACAAGAAAGCAGCTAAGAGCTCAAACATTTTCTTTAAAACTCACCCCTCGCATGGAGGTCCGTGTTGCTTGCACACTAGCTATAGCAACCGGAGTTTTCACCGTTTGTTGGACTCCCCTTATGTCTGCCTTTGCACCTAGTAAACCAGTTGTAAAGTGGAACGGCCCTGCACACTTGTGGCTCCAAACCCTGGCTTTGTCAAACTCAGCCATGAACTTTCTGATTTACTCTGCTAGAATGCGGGACTTTCGATATGCATACACCGTTATCGCACGAACGATACTCCGCTTGTAGAGTGCTCGACATTTATACGGGTCAAGAATTCGCAACTAATAACAACTATCACTGTTTTTGTTCTGATGGTAGAGACCGGTTAAGTCACGTTGGGATAACCATGGCGTAAGGCAAATAAAAAATATTCAGTATGTTCTAATTGCACAAAATATTGTAACCAAGATATTTCTCTGTTATGGTTATCAATCCGACTGGCCTATCTTAGCATTGTAATGATTCGGTAGTTTAAGGGTTTCAGAATGGCTGTTTACGTCAGTCGGATTAAATTAATTCAAAATGCTCCTTCGGCATGTTTATATTAATAATTTCTGAGATGGCAAGCAGTAATGTAATTATAACGATCAACTTCTGCCTCTTTTCATTAATGTACGTTAATGACAAACGAATCAAATGCCATTTTTACGACTATGACGAGCTCTGAAGCGCGAAAAAATTATTCTATGTAAATTACCTGGCTGCACATTCAATGTGCAGCAAGCTAATTTGCATGAGTAATTCAAAACCAAGGTCTGACGGCTCTAGGCTCTTGAGGTGTCGGCTGAATGCCGTAGGACTTCCGTAAATTGCCCACAAAAGAGTAACTCAAGGTACCATGAACTGAAATGAAAGTAACCGCAATATCCGATTAAAGCAAGGTTTAAATCTTTTTCTGCCACGCTAACAGCTTTTTCGAGGCACTCACTACTTCGGTAATGATAAAACGGCATAAACATTTTACAAAGCGCCTTTTTCAGTCTCGGGCAGTAACATAGTATGAAATGGACGTAAACTCAAGAATTCAGTTTTGTGACTGCATTGCAACTTTGAAACTATTAAGCCGCTTCCTGAAAGGCCGGGAAAATGTTTTTTGTAAAATTCGTAAAAGTAGCTGAAAAGTAGCTCCTTTCTAATTTAACATTACCAAATTTCAAATTTAGCAAACGCGCTAACTACTGTATGGTCCCGTATCAGTATGTAAAGGCATCAAATCTTTATAAAGCCGACAGAAACAATAGACCTATTCGGCTAACTCAATTGTTGTACCCAATTCAAATCTCCCGGGGATAAGATTCTTTGTGTATTGCATTTGCATTATAATGTGGCATTCACATTTAAATGATATGGAAATTCCTGAAACAAAACGTTTTATTCCCAAAGGGTTTGAATTGGCTACAACATTGAGTTAGCCGAATAGGTCTATTGACAGACAAGAACCGATATGATTTAAGATTTTTTTGTACTGCTTTTATATCAAGCAAATGAAAATAGTCCTGGCCATATGTCACCATCGCAAAATCGCCAAATTCAGAGGCTTCTAGATCACTAACACAAAATACTGCAATAACTGTTCTTATACTTCTCTTTTATTCCGCTTTGTTCAAGGCAACACTCGTGCCAAAATCAGTTTCGAGAGGGTGCTGAAAAAATAAGATGGAATAAGAGAAAGCTGTTAATTGACCATGAATGGTAAAAAACAGTAAGACTTGAATAAGATTATCACCTCCTTAAGTCCAATAAGTCAATGTTATGTATTTTTTAAGTATACACTAGACGGGATACTACAGCATTGATTAGAGTATTTTTGCAAGTTAACTGTAGATTTCAGGTATACACTACCCAGGATACTACAGGAATGATTAGAGCATTTTTGCAAGTTAACGTAGATTTCAGGTATACACTACCCAGGATACTACAGGAATGATCAGAGCATTTTTGCAAATTAACTGTAGATTTCAGGTATACACTATCCAGGATACTACAGGAATAATTAGAGCATTTTTGCAAGTCAACTTTCTCAAACTCACTAATTATTCATACGGTTATAAGCAAATCGGAGTGCCCCATTTTGGTCAGCTGGATGTATGTGGATACCCAATGAAAATCTAGATCAAGATTACTCCGGTTGGTTCAAAAACTGATGAAAACACTGATCAAGAAATTTGAATTTTAATCAGTCTTAATAGTAAATACAGTATATTTGCCGCTTCAATCATTACTTACAACAACAATAGGGCAACATATTATTTTTTTTCTTGGACACCAGAATGTTGCTTCTTCTTGCTCGCTCACAAACTCCTTCTCCTCCTTCTTGCACTTAATGTAAAGCCCTTCTCGAACACCATCCTTCATTTCGGCATGTAGGCAACGTCAGAACAGGACAAACCTTCGAAAAACAACACACCAAATTCAATTCCCAAAACAGTGCATTTTAAAATTCTGAACAATGCAGTCTAAAAGTTGTCAATTACCTTTAGTCACTAGCGTCCAGAGGATTCAAAGCTTCGGATCCATTTTTCTCCTCCAAATAACGCTTGAGCGAACAAATGATACTATAAACAGTCTTGGGAGGGTATCTTTCACCGGACTTTTTAGCTACCTCCACCACGAATTTTGACAACCAATAGTTAAGCGACAGAACATTCATTCCGGCAATATCTCCGCTCAGAGCGGTAACCTTGTGTAAGTCGTAGACCTTGAAGAGACCACCACAATCTAATACCGGAACTTGAACCTCTCTTAACCTCTGCCATTCGACAAAACTGCTCACAGCCCACTTGTTTTTATACTTAGTTGGAGCTGGAACGGCGTCATTCACCAGAACATTTTCTTGAAAAGAAAGTTTTAGGAACACAAAATCGTTCTGATCCGGACTCGACCTCCATCACGCGCCGTAATGTTAATCTACTAAAAAACCGCCAGCATGGCCGCATATTAAATATTCATTTCTTTTATCACGAATAAGAAACAAACAGTAGCCTATTGAGCACGTCTTCTAATTACCTATTCTTCGTTTGACAAGTCATCATGTCAAAAACTCGTGCTTTGTGTTTCATCAGGGGTTCCAGACACCTCGAAACAATAAAAGCACTCAGCCTGCAGCCTCGTGCTTTCATCTGTTTCTCGGTGTCTGGAAGCCCTGATAAAAAAGGCACTCGCACTCGTTTTTGACATATTACGTAGATTTCAGGTATACACTACCCAGAATACTACAGAAATGATTAGAGCATTTTTGCAAGTTAACGGTAGATTTCAGGTATACACTACCCAGGATACTACAGGAACGATTAGGGCATTTTTGCAAGTTAACGGTAGATTTCAGGTATACACTACCCAGGATACTACAGGAATGAGTAGAGCATTTTTGCAAGTTAACTGTAGATTTCAGGTATACACTACCCAGGATACTACAGGAATAATTAGAGCATTTTTGCAAGTTAACGTAGATTTCAGGTATACACTACCCAGGCTAATACTATGCAACGCAGCTAACAAAAGCTCAGAAAAACAAGGGGACCCAGCATGACCCAGCGAGGTTAATTGTCTGCGAAATTTTTTGAGAAAAGAGCTGACTCTCTCGAGTGTTGATCCAGAACAGAATAGTGCAGAGCAATAATTTTTAACATCAAAAGCTTCTGAAATAATCATTAAGTTTTCTTACCTGTGTGGAGTCTCTTCCTTTTTTTCTTGATTACTGATACCACTGATCTGGGGCCGGTTGCTCGAAGCCTGGTTAGCGCTAACCGTTGGTTAAGAGGTATCAAAATGTATAGGTTGCCATGGTATTTAACGCTGGTTAGCACTAACCATGCTTCGAGCAACCCGGGCCTGGGCGCCAAACAAACACGCGCGGTACATATTTCCCGCCAGAATAATTAAAAGCACTTTCATGAGACGGTGCAGTGATCAAAATACAAAAGCAAAATAGGAAAGTGCCAACTGCTCGAGGCTAGTGATCGTTTGATAAAATATCGAGAAATCTGGACAGAATCTTTTAGTAATACATTATCGAAAATTATGTGAAACACATCATCAGAGAGCACGTGCGAACAAAAATAATTTCCACTCGAAATTTTTTTTTGTCGGTATTTTTCATGAACAAAAAAGCGAAATATTAAAAATCACGACTTACCAGCAATTGCTCGACTAAACAAAGCTACACTTACCAAAGTCGATAACCAAGTAAGGATTTCCTGCAGAAATAATTTCCCACTCTCGTTTAGCAGTTTAGAGGTCGAACTTTACGTAGGTTATAACGGATTCGTTTTGCCGGCATCTTCCAGTTAAATTAAAGTAGATTTAACACTTGCCGGGAGTAATTAGTAATGTAGCCATTTTACTCATAGCTTCGCAAATGCAACTAGCGTTATAAAGCGACAGAAACTTTAGCGAAATATTCACACGCAACACGCGACGACCTCAGTAAATCTAACAAATGAAACAAGATACTGAGAAAAAAAAGGTTCATTGTTTGTTTCCGGCAGGTGGTGACAAATAATGTACAAGATTAGAAGACCTCCTGGTCAGAATTTTTTTTGTAGCCTAAGCCCGTCATGTGAGTCATAGAACAAGCATACACAACACACAACATGGCTGTTGCTGTTTTCTTCCAATGGCTCATGGCATTCCACTGATCACAGTCAATGCCATCGTTTGCGTTTTGGGATCAAATTGCCGTCCACACCGAGCCTGCAGCTACCTTTTATTCAGCTTAGCGATCGCTGATCTAATCGTCACTTTAGTATGCACGCCCCTTCTGTTGGAAATCATCAGCCATAGAATATTCTTCCACTCCCACAAGTGCACAGCGAGCCTGGAACGTGTGTTTGGTATTTTATCCCATGTTTCATGTACCACATCAGTCTTTCATATGGTCGCAATCAGCTTTGATCGTTTCCCTGCCGTTGTGTTTCCTATGCGGCATAACATCTTAATCGGGAAATGCGGACTTAAGGCTATGCCTACGTCTTGGACAATCCCAATTCCTCCCCATTTTAAAGCATATCGTTCCACCGGCTCACTTTCCAGGCAGATATATTGGACTGGGATTTTTTGCCTTCAACTACTTTTTTTTTACTTTCTGATTGTGTTGTTTCTGCTCCACCACAGGAAAACGAGAAAGCAGCTAGGTAGCCGAACAGTTTCTGTGAAACTGACTACGGCAGGGAGGTACGAGCTGCTTGCACAATAGCAATCGGCGTTTTCACGGCTTGTTGGGTTCCTCTGATGATTCACCGGAAAACTACAAATAAAGCGAAGCGGCCCTCTACACATGTGGCTCTGCACCCTGTCAAACTCAGCTATGAACTTTCTCATTTACTCTGCCAAAATCGTGGACTTTAAAGATGCATACATCGGTATCGTTACGAAAAATGCTCCGCCTCCGTGACAGTGCTTAACTATCACTACAGGTTAAGGATGTGACAAATGTACTGGAAAGTTGAACTCGCAATCACTACTAGTTCGGAAGAGAACTTTTATGGTGCTTTATTTTACTGTTTCAGAAACATGAAGTTTGCGTCTTGCCCTTTATACGAACACTAAATTATTAACGTATTGGCTCAGGTCTCACGTTCATGCTACCGGCAGTACAAGAAACTGTATTTTGGCACAGAACTGACATGAAGCAGGGGCACCCAACGACTTGTTGTCTGTAAAAAATATTGGTATGAGGAAGTATGTATCGCCTACTCAAATAAACAGTGCAGATGAGAAGCTAAACTAATCTTCAACCCTTATATAGCTTCAAAGATTTTCGGGAAACGATAAGAAAGCCGAATTATTTTGAGACTCAGCAATTACATAGCTATTAAAGCGTGATGAGGTACATAATAAACAAAAGAGGGCCGCACCTTTTTTTCAATATTATTCGTGGCCTCATTCAGGATTGACCACGATCTTGTCAATTTTGAAAATTGACGAAACCGACTTGTTTAATAGGCAAATGGCCATGGTTTGTATAAACAAACGTGGAAGTAATTCGTAACGCTTGGACATTGACGCGACAAGCTACTTGGGTTTCATTCAATCAATTTTCGTTTTCTACCTCGTTGATATACTCTAAAACATAATGCAATAAAGACGAAGTGAATTACCTCTGTCTGTCTTTCCTTGGTCGTTTTAGAAGGGATTCGGCTGTCAGGCCGGAGATGGTATCTCCGTTCGATTCTAAAAAAGAACAATAGTTTCAAGCGCTTCATTCACGACAGAAACTGGAGCGTAGATCTCAACTTTAAGTGTTAACCATAATCTATCCTCGATAGCAGAAGAGAGAGAAGGGAAAATTACTCTTCTTAGCAAAGAAAGGGTCCTGTCAGCGTCTTATCACATAGGAAAGTGTTTCGTCACAATCGTCGACAAAGTAAATCATTTATGAGACGCTCAACAGCATTTTTTCACGTTTTACCGACACTATCTACTTCACCAAGTTAAAACTCCCTCATCCACTCTTTCTGAATAATATTGTGCCGCTGGTAAATTAAGCTACCCCCAGTTTGCTTTGTTGTCCTAGAGATATACCCCATTTGTTTTGTCACACTATGTTACGCTTAGCCTCCCCGCAGACGTCCTCTAGGGTTCGTTTGTCACGCATTCATTTCTCCGTGGGGGAGAAATTCATGCGTGACAAACGAACCCCAAACAAACGAACCCCAAAGGACGTCTGCGGGGAGGCTATGTTACGCTTGGATATGGGCGTATTTAACACACAGCATTCTGGATTTCGTCAACTTAAACCTGGAGCCTCCACAAACCTGCTTGCTTCCATTCTATAGAATTTTTCGTTTGTCTTTGACAAATGCGCAAATCATGAAAAAGTAACATGAAGAGCAGAAAAATAGACTGACCATTCGGACTGGTAAATTTATAGATATCTCAATTTTTTGAAAACATGTTTAGCTCTAAAAACGAAGCTACGCAACCATGCATGTTTTGAAAAATTGCAATGATCTTTTCAGTCAAAGTGTTTTGTTTAAATGAGTTTCAAACTTGTTTTCGTGTGAAGGTGGATGTCACTCGCCGATATGATGATGAAAATCAAGTGATATGATATTGACCTGAGGAGATATTAGTTTAGAAGGCGTACACTGAATCGATTAAGGCTAAACTTCACTAACACAATACATGTTTTTAATACAGAAAATGGGGTCTTCAACAACAACAACTTAGTAAAGTAATTGAAATAATGATGCCTAACCCAGTTAAACTAAACAACAGCCTTTTAATTAGTTATCTTTTTTCGACGTTTAATCCACGTCTTCATATTAACTGTAGTCTGGATTACCCCAAGTAAACTAACAACATGCAGTATGTATTTGCATTTATTACTGAAAGATATATTGCTAGCAAGCTAATGTTTCAGCATGTTATTTCTGGCTTACGTCTTAGGGCTAAGTATAGGTTCTTTTGCGTCAAAATAGATCTGAAATATCAAAGTGGGCCGTAAACAAATTTATGTATACTTTCCTTCCAATTTTTTTTCTATTCACATATGCTAAGTGTTGGACGAAAAACGACCTTAATCCTGATTTTTCGCCCGCGCAGTGCATCAGGCCAAACGACAACATGAACGAATCATCGGAGAACGCAAACAGTTGTTCTCTTCCCATGGCTCATGGTATTCCACTTATAGCAATCAATGCTACCATAAGCGTTCTGGGATCACTTGGAAACTTGCTTGTTTGTTTGGCCATTACTACAAACTCTCGCCTACGCCGAGCCTCAAACTACCTTTTATTTAGTTTAGCGATCGCTGATCTGATCGTCACTTTGGGATGCGAGCCACTACTTTTGGAAGTAATAATCAAGAGGACGTTCTTCCATGAGTGCACCGAGAGACTGCAGCGTACGTACTCTCTTTTATCCCAAATTTCGTGCAGCACTTCAGTGTTACATATGGTTGCAATCAGTCTTGATCGTTTCGTTGCCGTTGTGTTTCCGTTGCGGTACAAAGAATTCATCAAGAATTGCGGACTTAAAGTTATGCTTATAGTATCCTGGTCATTGCCGATTCTTTTGACTGTTTTGAGGTCTATCGTTCCACCGGCATCCTATCCTGGCCATTTTATCGGACTGGGAACCTTTGCCTTGAGCTATTTCTTTATTTTCTTTTTCTACTTTCTAATTGTGGTATTTTTGATCCACCACAGAAGGACAAGAAAGCAGCTAGGTGCCCGAACACTTTCTGTGAAAGTGACTTCCAGCAGGGAGGTCCGTGTTGCTTGCACATTGGCCATCGCAATCGGCATTTTCACGGCTTGTTGGGTTCCTCTGATGACTGTATTCTTTGCCACTGGAAAACTACTTATAAATCGAAACGGCTCTCTACTCATGTGGCTCCGAACCCTAGCTCTGTCCAACTCAGCCATGAACTTTCTGATCTACTCTGCTAAAATCAGGGACTTCAAAAAGGCATACGTTGATATTTTTCGAAAGATGCTCCACCTGTAAAGGTCTCGACGTTTACTACGGTTTCAAGAACTCAGAAAGTTTTAGGAAGCTGAACTTGTGAGCAGTCCTACTCATTATGAAAAGGGTATTTTAGTGTTTCAGAAACGTGAAGTCTCGGTACTTCCTCTCTGATACTATCTATCATGTTTAAGGGAGAGGCTGGTCTCACAATTACGTCAGCAGTTCAAGAAACTGTACTCTGGTAATGAACCGACGTCAAGCAGGGGCACCGGACGAACTATCCTTTGCCGAAGTGTAAAATATTTGCTTAATGGAGTAAATAAATAATTGTCTGAAAAGTTTCAAAGGAAGAAATTAAAGGAAGACACAAACTTTTCTAGCACCTCAGTCACACCAAAGCATAAACATGTTTAAAAGCTGTTTACTTAAATACGGTTTAAAATTGTTTCCTTCATGCATTGTAAAAGAAGGAGCTGCTTACTAACTTAAGTTAATTGAAAATGTAGTGCAAGTTACAAAACATGGCGAATTCTATGTGAATCCTGTGTAAAAAGTCTTTTTTCCAGTTTTCCACCTCATGTTTTTTCTTTCCTTTTTTTTTCTTTTTTGTTTTAATCTGGTTTAATTAAAAAGGTTTAGTTATTGTGAATAGGGCATAGGTGTTTGTTCCATTTCCTAGCTTTTTCGGAGCTGTACTACTTTGCATGGACTTCCCTACAATTTTCTGAAATGGTGATTTTCACGTTTTAATCACCAGGTTTGGCTAATATCGTGAGAAAGGATCGGACCCCTAGTAGCATCTACGAATTTCGGAAAGGATAGGGGAAGCCCTCGAAGGGGATTACCTTAGGAAAGTTAGAGTAGGGGTGTGCCGCTGAGGCCTTCACACCCTGAGCCTGTTCATTAATTTGCTACCGTGTCCTTATCCTATGACCCTGATTCGTTTCGTTCTGCACAGAGAGTTATTAATAAGTAATTTCCAGAATTTTTCAAACTAACCTCATGGATTTGGATTTTTTGAGAAAAAACTGTTGGTTCCACAAATGTAGACCGATTCTCGCCAATCTTCCAACTCTTTGAGAGGATCCCGGTCCAAGAGGACACCCTAATCGAGGCGCCAAGTTGGTAAATGTTATATATACTCCGTTTAAGACGCAAGACCCTAATAAAAGAAGGCTGTGCCTAATATATTATATTCCCATCGCTGATCACTAATGGAATTGAATTAATGAAGGCAGGAGCTGGATCTTATATAGTAGTTCATGGGTTTTTATGTTCTTAACAATCATGGCCTAAGCTTCCGAAGCTGAACGCCCGACTGACCGTAGCCTGTGTGCATGAAAGTAAATATTCAACGCCTGTAAATTGCGGGCTGGACAAGCTGTTCGTGTTTCATTGATTTGAATCTGTCTTTTGTCTCGTAGATATATTATTAAAAATAAATGATTTAGCTGTGTGTCTGTGTCTTTCTTTGGTCGCTTTAGAAGGGATTTGGTCGCCACACCGGGGGTGGTCTCTTCGTTTGATTTTAAAAACTACAGTTAGTTTCAAACGCTTTAAGCACGACTGAAACAGGAATGTAGGTATCTAATTTGAAGTAATAATCATAAACTCTACCTGTGAGCAGACGAGAGAAGGTAGAGAGAAATGATTCCTCTTCTTAGCAAAGGAAGTCTCCAGCTTCTTAGTATAGCGAAGTGTCTAGCTACAATTGGCAAAGAAAACATTTTAGGCACCTTGACCTCAACATCATTTCTCACTATTTCCCGACACAACTCTTCAATTTCCAAAGATCATCCTCTCTTGCAATCGCTAAGTGCAAAGCCCACCTCCCGTCTCCCCCTTCTCCCTAAAAAATAATTGGTGTAGTATCCAAGCTACCCTTAGGAAAGAACAACCAAATATTAAGCTATCATTTTGACGCTTGGAATTCCGCGTAAGCAGGCCAGTTTGGATTTTTCCTTCTTCACCTGATCGCTTCTTTTCCAGAATAAAATCGAAATGCAGAAAATAAGTTTCATAACGCCTAAGAAGGCGGGGTAAACAAATTTCTTTATATCCTACTTCTACTCATAAGTGTGTTGGACGAAAAGGGAGTCTTAATCCTGATTTTACGCCAGTCAGTCCAGTCGGCCAACCGTCCCGGCACGATGTTCGATGTGTACTGTGTGTGTGAACTACCTGTTTCAGTTTTGTGCCGTTGCTATTCATATCATACCAGAAAGCTATCAGGTATAGTGTGAAAACAGCCTAAATATGTTCTCATATTTGCAAAATTGCCGCTTTGTAAAGGTGAACATCACTTGCAGCTCAGTGTAATGATGTAACTCTTGCTAGTAATTTGATTTTGACCAGAGCAGGGATAGCGAAAAAGTCATGTATCGATTCTATTTAGCTTTAACTTTTAAAAATTACAAAAACAGTACATGATCTTAATTAAAACGATGGGATGTCATCAACAACAACAACAAGAACAACAAGTAAAGTAATTATATTGAGGATGACAATGAGAGCCTGTTAGTTAGTATATTCGACGTTTAATTTGCGTATTCGGATTGGCCATGGTCTCAGTTACTCAGGTATTCTATTTTCTAAAAACATGCACGACAGATTTGCATTGATCACTGAAAGATCTGAAAGATATATTACCAGCAGATTCAATATTTACAGGTATGGCTGTCAATCTGACTTATCTGATTGTTGTCGCAGTATATCTATATCTGTCTTCAATATGGCTCACGTCTGTACTGGACTAAAATAGGTTCTTTTGCGTCAAAATAAGTCTGATAACGTCTGAAATGGACGGGTACATATTATTTATTTCTTACTTCCAACTTCATCTATTCACATGTTCTGATGCCTTGGAGAAAAAGGTGGAACTTAATTCTGATTTTACGCCGTACAGTACATCAGTCTAGACGACAGCATGAATGAATCATCGAAGAACGTGAACAGTTGTTTTCTTCCCATGGCTCCTGGTATTGCGCTGATCACAATCAACGCTATCGTCTGCGTTTTGGGATCACTTGGAAACTTGCTTGTTTGTTTGGCCATTGCTACAAATTCTCGCCTACGCCGAGCCTCCAACTACCTTCTATTCAGCTTAGCGATCGCTGATCTAATCGTCACTTTGATATGCGAGCCACTGTTTATCGAAGTCATCATCGAGAGAACATTCTTGTACGATTGCACAGCGAGCCTAGACACTGCGTTCTTCATTTTAGGCTATCTTTCATGTGCCACCTCAGTCTTGCGTATGGTAGCCATCAGTCTTGATCGATTTGTTGCCGTTGCGTTACCACTGAGACACAAAAACTTCATGGAGAAGTGCGGACTTAAGGTTATGCTTATAGCATCCTGGTCAATTCCGATTTTTAAGGTGATTATTCTTCTCGTTTTATCGCGTGTCATTCCGTCGGCTTCATATTCGGCGAGCCCATTTCTCTTATTTGGAACCTTTGTCTTCAGCTATTTCTTAATTTTCTTTTTCTACTTTCTGATCGTGGTATTTCTACTACGTTACAATAGGAAAAGAAAGCAACTCAGCCGAGCTCGAAACGTTTCCGTGAAACTGACTTCCCGCATGGAGGTTCGTGTTTCTTGTACGCTGGCCATCGCAATCGGTATTTTCTCCGCTTGTTGGGTTCCCGTGATAACTATAATGATTGCCATAATGACTGGAAAACCACTTACAAGGCCAAACGGCCCTTTGGACTTGTGCCTTCGAACCCTGGCTCTGTCAAACTCAGCCATGAACTTCCTGATCTACTCTGCTAAAATCCGGGACTTCAAAGAGGCATACGTTGATATCTTTCGAAAGTTGTTCCGTTTGTAGAGTTGTGGACTTTTTGCTGCTTGTTTCAAGAAATTAAAAACAGTTTGAAGTCGCAGTTGTTCCTAATGGTTAATTTTTGTGAGGAAAAACTGTCATCTACATGTGTGGCAAACGGTCAGCGTGTACTATTGGTTTACAAATACAGGAATATTTAGAGAATTGTTAACGACTGGAAGTATTCTTTATTAGCTATTAGGGAGCTTACGCAACCAGAAAGACAACTTAATGGCAGGTAAAAAGTTAATGATAAAATGTATTTTCTCTCTCTCAAACTTCATCGCGTTTATTTAGCTTAGCGCATTTTGTCAAACGTAGGCGAGTTTCTCTTTGGTTGACTTTTTAAGGTCCGCATCCAAGATCTAAAATTGGCAAACGCTAGCCGGATTATTAACACACAAATGCAGTTGGGGCTCAAGTCCTTGACGAAAGATTCCTTTCCGTGGACTTAGTTTATATAAAGGAGTTTATACAGCGACTCTCTTGATTATTACCAAACGTCCAGCTGCAATCTGTGAGCCAGTTTGTCGTTTGTCGCTGATCACTAATGGAATTGAATTCATGAAGGCCGGAGCTGGATCTTAGATAGTAGTAAGAAACATGCCACTGACTCAATTCATGGGTTTTTTTGTCCTTAACAATCATGGCTTAAGTTAACTTTCCGAAGCTGAACGCCCGACTGACCGTAGCCTGTGTGCATGAAAGTAAATATTCAACGCCTGTAAATTGCGGGCTGGACAAGCTGTTCGTGTTTCATTGATTTGAATCTGTCTTTTGTCTCGTAGATATATTATTAAAAATAAATGATTTAGCTGTGTGTCTGTGTCTTTCTTTGGTCGCTTTAGAAGGGATTTGGTCGCCACACCGGGGTGGTCTCTTCGTTTGATTTTAAAAACTACAGTTAGTTTCAAACGCTTTAAGCACAACTGAAACAGGAATGTAGGTATCTAATTTGAAGTAATAATCATAAACTCTCCCTGTGAGCAGACGAGAGAAGGTAGAGAGAAATG